TAAAATCGAATGGCTGTTTGGGGCTCAACATCTTTTTCTTTTTCTTGGTTTTTCAAGAAAGGGTTTCTCTGGGTAACAGCCCTGACTGACCTGAAACTAGCTCTTGTAGATCAGGCTGGCCTTGAACTCACAGAGATCTGCCTGCCTCTGCCTCCCGAGTGCTGGGAATAAAGGCATGCACCACCACTGCCTGGCTCAACATCTTTTAAGTCTGTTAAAATAATGTATTGTTGGTATTGAATCTTCTTTCTTAAAAAACTTATGGGAAGAGTTTTAATATAGCCATAGTAAACATATGGATATATAAATATGCTGGGAAATACATGATTTTGAAATTTTAATTGGGTTTTGAGTGACCTGGTAGTGTGTGTGTCTGTGTCTGTTTGTGTATTTTTCTCACATTAAAATATGTTTATATTTAGTTACAGTAGATACCCTATAAAAATCAAAGGGATTGACTAGAGTGTAAACCATGTACACAGTACAGTAGGCAAGATGCTGTTTAGTTTTTTCGGTTTGCTCATGGTCTCTTCATGAAAACTCCTGTTTAAAACATGTTTGGGTTTTTTTTTCTGATCCTTTTATTGTTTTCTCCTTCACAGCGCTTGTACACAGAAGCCTGGGAGAAAGACAAGACCCAAATCCACATTATGCCTGACACACCCGAAATTATGTTGGCCAGACAAAACAAAATAAACTACAGTGAGGTAAGACCTACCTGCTCTTGATTTCCTTCATCTGCTCACACTGACTTTGGCTGATGTAAGAACGTCAGACTGTCCCTCGGCACAGGCATGATGCAGTCCACTCTTCTTAGGTTTGGTTTCATACTCATTATCTTACTTTAAATTTGGATATAGTTGTATCAAAAATTAGAAAGACAAACACAGCCGAGCGGTGGTGGCGCACGCCTTTAATCACAGCACTTAGGAGGCAGAAGTAGGTGGATCTCAGTGAGTTTGAGGCCAGCCTGGTCTACAAGAGCTGGTTCCAGGACAGGCTCTAAAGCTACAGAGAAACCCTGTCTCGAAAAAACAAAAAAAAAAAGACAAACACAAAAGTATCAGCCCTTCCAATCAGCCAGTAATAAGTAAATAATAATTTCAACTAAAAGTAGTTATTGACCAAGCTAAAAAGCTGGGTCGGCGGGTAAAGCAGTGCTATGCAAACATCGTAGCCTGAGCTCAGACCCTGTGAAACCGTGTGAAGCCAGATGTGCTAAATGAGCATCTTAATTCCAGAAGGAATGAAAGGTTGAGGGTAGAGACAGAATTCCTGAAAATCCCCAGGCGAGCTAGCCAGGCACAGCAGAGGGCATCTCGAACAGGATAGAAAGTGAAAACTGACACTCAGGGTTGTCCTCTGACTCCACAAGTGCACTGTGGTGTGAGTGTGCCTGGACACAAGTGCCCGCGCACACACACAGGGAGGGGTAGGGAAAAGGAGATGTACACACGCAAAGATCCAAAGAAATTGTGTTGTTCATCAAATTGGGACTTGTTTTGGAATGCATTCTGCATATTTGCTTTCTTCAGTTTGCCTCATCTATAAAGTATCTAGAAACTTTTGAGATGACAAAAATCTACACTATGGGTAGGATGGGAGCTGATGTAGTAATGGGTTAATAAATTTTAATGTCTGTCTTTTACCCTCAAGTCACCATGGAAATTAGTATAAGAGGGCCCAAAGAGAGATGCATGGATTTCCCTGGGAAGGGGAAATAGGAGAAAATTAAATGTGTTTAATATATTTGAAATAGCCAAGTTTATAACAAGATCCAAATGCAAATGAAAGGGTTTTTTAATTCATCCTTTTCAACATTGCCTAAGAGCAATCAAATTTTTCTTGCCGTTGAAGTATATTAGAGGCATTAGAATCTAAGGGGAAATAATTATCTTTACAGTGCAGAATTACTACTACATACGTAGTTTCTTACTCGATTGTCCTTGTCCAGGTGGAGAATCTATCTGATTGATTCAAGTATTCTGATCTTTAAGCTTTTACTCTGAAGACTTGATCAAGTTTTTATCTTACCTGTATTCATCTATTAATACACATTTATTTGTAATAACAGAGTCTTAAAGAAAAGGCATGTTTCTTATCTCATATAGCAAAGACTAATCAATGAAAAGGGTGAGATTTTTCCTTCCTCTGTCATCAAAGAACAGACTCACCAATAATATCTGACCAGCCCTGGCTCGTCCACATTAGGGCAGGCTCCTGCCCCAGCCCAACCACATCATTAGGGTGGGCTTCTGCCCTGGTTCTGCCACATTAAGGGGTCTCCTGCCCCAGCTCAGCCATGTGAAGGGAGCTCCTGCCCTGTTCAGTCACATTAGGGGAGATCCTGCCATGACTCAGTTACTTTAGGAGTCTCCTGCCCCAGCTCAGCCACACTGGGGTAGGTTTCTCTGCTGAACCTGGCCTTGCTGAGCCTCAGGCAGATGCAACTAACTTCTGTCCCAGGTTGTGATGAGGCTCCTGCTTACCTGAGGAGAAATTAAATAGATTTTCCTTTTAGACTAGTAAGAGAAGATGGGGATTTTTTTTAATTCTAAAATTTCCAACTTGGTTTTTTTTCTTTAAAATGTCAAGATTAATTTCCCAGCCCCTGTTTTCTGAAGATGAGGTTTAAGAATGACCCCCGCAAATGACTGAAAGGCGTTGCTGAGGGCTTTCACCCCACAGTTCACTCCTTGACTGCAAATGGAACGAACACACCTCAACCTTGTCTTGTGTATGCTCCTGTAGCTACTCTAGCTGCCCTGCGCATGTGACTTCCCAGAACAAGCTTTAAATCATGACCTTGGAGATAACGAAAAGTGCTGTGTGCCTCAAAACACCGTGCCTCTTTCAAAGGTTGGAAAACCTAAAGAAATCTGACTTGAGGTCAAGAGCTGCCTCCAGACCATTTTTCTCGACTGTACCATGAGGTCATAGTTAAGGCTTTGTTATGGGATGGAAAAATATAATAGATGGATTATAGGATTTTATGCTATAAAAGAAATATTCTGGGGCTCTAAAGGTGACTGGGCAATTAAGAGGGCTCCCTACTCTTCCTGAGAACCCAGGACCCAGCACTCCACATAGATTAGCTTCCAGCCACCTGTAACTCTAGCTCCAGAGGATCTACTGGCATATATTCACTTGACATTCACAGACACGTATACATACCCATAAATAAGGAAATAAATGTTCTGTAAAAAAAAAAAAGTTTAGGAGTGAAGTTTGTAGTGACTATAATTTTCTCCTAATTGGTTGAATAATTTAAAATTTTAATTTTTTAATTTAAAAACCTGTAGAGCACTGCATTTGATTTACTCTGTATCATTAAAGTGGTCTTTATTGATAGAGAAATACAGATAGTAAATAGACAAATATATATGACACAAATAAAGAGTACAGGAGAGAAATACAAACAAGGAGAAAAGTGGGATGCTCACTGAGGTTGACCTTGTTGTGAAACTTTCTACAGGTTTTGAGAGAGGACAAGGCCCACTCTGGAGTGTCAGAGCATCTGTTAAAATCTCTGCCCAAGTGTGGTTACATAAGGGCCTTAGTTTCTAAAAGCACAAAGCACACTTGTCTCACTAGCACGGTGCCGTACATCTGAGGCACCATACACACACACACACACACACACACACACACACAACTGTGCGGAATGACCATTTAATTCGTTCGTGGTCATCAGAATCTTTTCCATTCAAAGCTCAGTGAGCTCCTCGAAGTAACATGTCTCATTAAGAGATCTAGTAACTTTTTACAATTAAGATTTGTTTGTTAAAGTAAATATTCTGCCAAGCATGGTGCACATATCTCAGCACCAAGGAACAAAAGGTCTGAGGGTTGTAAGTTCCAGGCCAGCCTGGGCTACCTAGTGAGACAACTGTCATGAAATCAGATAACCAACAAAGTTGGTCAAAATTTGTGAACGAAGAAATCTTTAAGATGCCTTCTGTCACAGAAATTGAACAGCGACAATGTTTTCTCAGTTCAAAGTAAAAACAGAATCTTTTCTTCTCCTGGCTCATCAGTCTTTGGTATTTGCTATCGCTGTGTCTGCTACCAATTCCCGGCAGCTGAGACCAACTACTAATGAGCAATTAAATATTAGCAGAGACTTTTCAAAGCGTTTGCCCGGTCTCATTGCGGCATGCTTTCAATCGTGAGCACATGCTTACAGTGATTTGTTGTATATTATCATAGAGTAATGCAGGTAGAGTTGTCCCTGTTTCAAACCTGGAGTCCTAGCATCCTTCTTCGCTGGTTTATGAATGGAGTAAGCGCTTACTGACTTAAACACCACCGAGAACTGCTGACTTCGTGTCTAAAGCCTGTAAGGACGTGCAAAAAGGCGTCATGTTACAATTTACTGAATGCAAAATTTCCATTTAACTTAATAGCTTGGAAAAATTCTTTTTGTTTCGCTGTTTTGTTTCGGTTAAGACTGCGTGGTTCTACATCCAAGGGTTGTCTTCTTTTGACCCCCCGCCCCCAAAAGTGTGGATTTCTCTGTGAATGTGAGTTCTCTAACTGAAAGTGTCTTCCTTCTTTCCCCAGAGCCTCTATCGCCAGGCCATGGAAGAAGCTAAGAAGGAAGGCTATGACTTGAGAAGCGATGCCATTCCCATCGTGGCCGCCAAGGCTTCCCGGGACATCGCTAGTGATGTAAGCACTGACTCGGCACTCAGTCAGGCCAGCCCCTAGCACAGGGATGCCCCTTCTGTAACACTGTAGGACTTCTCGGTGCTCCTCTCTCACCTCACCAACCCCACTGAGTAGAGGTGGGGACCTGGATAACCCGCTCATGATCCCAGGCTCATAGTCTACACTGCGCTGTGCTCTCTTGATCTTGCTTTTCATCTCTGTGTTAAATAGAGCAGGCATCTCACAGTCAGATGGGCTGTGTTGAGCTGCTCATGAACGCTCATGATACACTCGAGAGAATGGATGCAAACATGAAATGGGCATACCGAGTTTGCCCACACAGGAAGGAAGGTGGAGGATAGCCAAAGGCTGAAGAAGGCCATTGTCTCTGTACTCTGAAAATGAAGATAGCAGATTCCTGGACATGTTTAAAATTATCCGAAAGTAGAAACAGTGTCCAACTTTATAGCTTTTAAACCTTTTTTGTTAAGGTTGGAAAAGGTGAAACTGACTAAGGTAACTATTAATTAAACGTATGATCCAATAGTGCTCCAGATTTTCCCACTGTGAGGCAAAACAGCTCTTACAGCTTCCTCATTTTATGAAACCCAAACTCCACACCTACTAAATAACAGAATTCGTCTATTTCAAAACGATGCCTCCTGGCCTACATGTATGCTTCTGGAGGCTGTACATAGTTTGAGTAACATACGTGCTATATTTCTCTGCCTTTCCAAGGAGAAGCCTGGGAGCCACGTAGGCACACACCCCGGGGTGCTCTCTCGCAGGCTGTCTGGTAGGGCTTCTGGGGCACTGGATTAGCTTGTGGCTGCGACTGGACGGCCTCTTCCAGTCATCACTTTTGGCCAGTTTTTGCCAGCATATGATTCTGCGACTTTATAGAAGGAGCAGTGGGGTTCTTCTTGCCCCCCCGAGGCGTCACAGGAGCATCCGGCAGCGGTCCTCTCCCCCTCCTCCATCCCCCTTACGCTCTGGGTTGTGTCTCTTTCAGTACAAATATAAAGAAGCCTACCGGAAGCAGTTGGGTCACCACATTGGCGCCCGAGCCATACACGATGATCCCAAGATGATGTGGTCCCTCCACATTGCCAAAGTGCAGAGTGACCGTGAATATAAAAAAGAGTTTGAGAAATACAAGACAAGATACAGCAGCCCAGTGGACATGCTCGGGATTGTATTAGCCAAGAAATGTCAGACTTTGGTCAGTGACGTGGACTACAAACACCTCCTGCACGAATGGACTTGCCTGCCTGACCAGAATGATGTCATACAGGCACGGAAAGCATATGACCTCCAGAGTGATGTAAGTATCCCTGGTATGGGATCAAAACATATCAGAAGAAAGTCTGTGGGCAAGGACCGGGAATCTAAATGCCCCTAGAAGTAAGAGTTTCTCATTTGGGGACCTCTCCAAAAGTTGTGGGTAAAAAGGAAGTAAATACTATCAGTGTTATGCAGAATTTAGCTTCCTAGTGATTCGGGCTTCTTTTGTCTGAATCAGCTAATGCTTAGCCCTCAAAATAACATTGCTGACCCAGTCATTGTGGCTCACACCTGTAATCCCAGAACCTTGGAAGTGGAGGCAGAAAGATTGGGAGTTCAAAGCCAGCCTTAGCTATAAGACCCTGCCAAGGAAGGAAGGAAGGAAAGAAGGAAAGAAGGAAGGGAGGATGGATGGATGGATGGATGGATGGATGGATGGATGGATGGATGGATGGATCACTAGTGACATTTTGACCAGCAAAGTAGAAGCGAAAAGAAAGAGAATACAAGTTGGCAGCGGCTAATAGTTGGGAACAAAAGTACATTGTTTATATTACTTTGATAACTGCTTATACTTAAATTTACAAGAAGAAAAATATGAATACACCCTTGCTTTTTCAAAGCCAGTTATCTCATATTAGCAGCTCGCTCAGGAATAAACTGGATAAATACCTAATATCTTTCCATCAGCGCATCCCCTTTACTCACTTGAGAGCTGAGCATTTTAGAGATGGAAATTAAAGCAAGGGTCTTGTGATTGCCACACTTTGTGTGCCATTGGTCTACTCGTGTGGTTTAATTTGAAATGATTAGAACACATTAGCCAAGGCTTAAGGAGCATTGGTCCTCTGTGAAAGATCTTGTAAAATCCTTAAGGACAGGATAATGTCCCTTTTTAAAAAGCTCAAGAAAAAAATCTTTAGAGAATTCAAGGCTATTAGTCAGGGACCGGTGTCTGAGTATGCTGGCGGTTTTATCTGTTCAGAAAAAAAAAAAAAAAAGTCTATTTCTTTTTTTTTCATTAATTAATTTTTAAAGGTTTTTGGACATGTACATATTATTTAGAGCATATTTCTACATGCACCCATATTCCTGTTTCTTGAGTGTGATGTGTCTTGAGATGATTCACAAAAGAAGAGTTAACACGTCTCTCTTAACCGTTGGTCTTCAGAATCTGTACAAGGCCGACCTTGAGTGGATGAAAGGCATTGGCTGGGTTCCCATAGGTTCCCTGGAAGTCGTTAAAGCCAAGAGGGCCACAGAGATACTAAGCGATAATATCTACCGCCAGCGTCCAGACACATTGAAATTTACCAGCATCACTGACTCGCTGGAGCAGGTGCTGGCGAAGAACAACGCAATAAACATGAACAAGGTGAGTCTTCACGCTCCCCCATGCAGCCCGAGAGTTACCACAGGGCAAGACAGCGGCTCCGGCATGCTGTTATGTCTCAGAGTTACTCCGAGGTGTATCATAACCTGCTCAAATGATTTCAGTTGGCTTATGAAATGTGCTTTGGTGGTTCTCCCCCTCGTCTCTCCCACTCCTTTGTCACACAGCCCATTTGGTCTTAGTCCCCACCCAGTCTCTCTTCTGCTTTCGTGTGATGTGGGTTCCTTTTTCTTTCCCTTGTTTCCGCCACACTTTTTAACTTTTCTTGACCTTCTTTCTAGTTTTTGAAGGCTTTACCTGCATTTTCACTTGACATCTATTACATTTTATTATTTATTTACTTACTTACATTGTGTATATATGTATACACACACGATACATGTATACATATATATGTGTGTGTATACTCATGTGTGCCATGGCATGCATGTGGAGGTTAGATGACAACCTGTGGGACTAAGTTACCTCCCTTTACCATGTGAGTCCTTGGAATCAGGTTGTCAGGCTTGGTAGCAAGCACCCTTACTCACTGAGCCATCTTGCCAGCTCTGTCACTCTCTCTCTCTCTCTCTCTGAGTAAAAACTAGTGTTTACATATTAGAACAAGTGGGTTTTTGCTTTCTAAGTTTATATTAGCTATCTTAATATACTAATATTACATGTTTATACTTAGTATACTAAATATACATGGTTTTTCTACTTAAATATGTTTATTACTTGGTGACACTTCAAAATATTAAATTCTTATTTAAAGTACCATGAAAAAGAGGAGTGAAGTGAGAGCGAGAGCGAGAGAGAGATGTTTTAGGGGACAGGGACTCAAACAGGGCAAGTACCTGGGACCAGGAGCTGATACAGAGGCCGTGGAGGGTGCTGCTTACTGACTTGCTGCGCATGCTTTGCTCCGCATTTCTTGTAGAACCCAGGACCACCAGCCTAGGGATGGCCCCACCCACAGAGGACTCCCCCACCAATCACTAATTAAGAAAATGGTCAACAGGCTTGCCTACCTCCTATTCTTACGGAAGCATATTGTCAGTTGAAGTTCAGGACTGTCAGATGACTCTGGGAAGTGTCAAGTTGACATAAAACTAGCCAGCACACATACACTGATGACATTTTCACTGAATAAATTTTAAATATTACTTAAAATGCATGCATACTATATGTAAAGCTTGGCATGATGGTCCGTGTTTGTGGTCCCAGTACTTGGAAGGCAGAGACCAGAAGATTCAGAGTTCAAGGCTATATGTAATGATTTTGAAGCTAAACTGAGCTGTAGGAAACCCTATCTCAAAAAAAGAAACAGCAAATAATTCTCAGACAGATTTTTAAGTACCAAAACCTAATTATACTTTGCAGAACAGTTGAATTATTTAATAATTGAAGTATTTATAAACTTTTAGCAATGGACAAAGGAATGCAGCCTTAATAAATTTAGTTCTACTTTGTGTCAAAGAGATAACAATTTCTGTGAACACCAAAATAATTTTCTCCTTTTTTCAATAGCGCTTGTACACGGAAGCCTGGGACAACGACAAGAAAACCATCCACGTCATGCCCGACACGCCAGAGATCATGCTAGCCAAACTCAACAGGATAAACTACAGCGACGTGAGTATCCAGAGAGGCCAAACGAGGGGTCATGATGTTTCCCTCCGTTAAATGCTTTCCCTAATGTGTTACCTACCCTATAACTGACATTGTTGGCAAAAGAAACAGCTCGCCCTTGACTTAACCCTAGGCTACGTGGTGGGTCCACAAGGAAGACCAAGCTTTCATTACCAGACAGGAAGTGGAGTCCCTGTGGGGAAGAATCCTGAGTATAACTCCTCCTCTAAGACCCTCCATGGGTGGAATAGCACCTAAACATGGACGCTCCCCCAACATGTTTTCAGATTTAACAGTCAGGAAAACCTGATGTCTCAAACATGTGCCCGAGGACCTGTGGCCTGTGAGGCGTAATTGTCTGTGACACCGCCACTGTGTTTAGGGGATCCATTTCAGTTGAAATGGTGACAGGAAGCACTGAACAGAAATCAGCGTCATTTCTTCCGAAGGGGGTGGTGACTAAGGGCTCTCTCCACAGAAACTCTACAAAGTGTCGCTGGAAGAGGCCAAGAAGCAAGGCTACGACTTGCGCGTGGACGCCATTCCTATCCGAGCAGCCAAGGCATCGAGAGAGATTGCTAGTGATGTAAGTTGACTTTCTTTTTTTTTTTTTTTTTAAGAAGCGTTTCTTTAAAATGTTGTCAGAGGGACATTTTCAGGGAGTTTGTCGCCAGCCCTTGCTTGCCCTTCCAAGTGTCATCCTCCTTTAGTGCCCCCATACGAAGTTAAAATGAGAAGGGTGGGAAGGAGCCGACCCCCACCCGATATGCTTGTTGGTCAGGTAAAGACCATCTGTGTTTTAAAACAGTAATTTTTCGTTTTGTTTTTTGTTTGTTTTGTATTTATTTTTATATCCCAACTGCAGTTTCCCCTGCATCCTCTTCTCTCAGTCGCTCCCCCTTAGTTGTCCCCCCCTATCCATTTCTCCCCCATTTCTCTTCAGAAAAGGGCAGGCCTCCCATGGATATCAACCAGTCATGGTATATCAAGTTGCAGTGAGACTAGCCTCCTACTGAGGCTGGACAAGGCAACGCGGTAGAAGGAAAGGGTCCCAAAAATCAGGCAGACGAGTCAGAGACAGCCCCAGCTCCTACTGCTGGTCCCACAAAAAGACCAAGCTACACAACTGTAGCCAATGTGCTGAGGGCCTAGGTTGGTCCCATGCAGGCTCCCTGGCTGGTGGGTTATTCTCTAAAGCAGTAACTTTGTAAAGACCTACTGATTTGTTTTATTTGGTTTCCTGGTCCTGAGGAGGGAACCCAAAGTCCTGCTTACACTAGCTGATGACTCTGCTGCCAAGCAGTGTCCAAGTTCATATTTTTTGAACCTCAGAAATTGAACACAATTTAGATGTTTATTTTATAATCGAGATGTTTATTAAAATGAGTGACAGTACGGTTAACTCTACCAGTGGGGGTATGTTTTCCTGTTGCTTCCATGTGGTTATTGTGGCATGAAAGAAGGCTGGATGGAGGACATGGCTGAATGGTGGGCGTGCCTTAGAGTTTGTTTGTTTTTTTTTATCCTATGTAACTTCTCTTGTAAGAAGTCCCTAAAGGGAAACTGACAAACTGTGAAGTACTTGGGTCTTCTCAGCAACCATTCGCCTCTTCCCTCCTTCTCTGTGCATAAGAAGCACAGAGCTGTCTGTGTTCTGAGTACCATGTCACCTCCTTGAAACACAAACTGCTTCCCCTTGTACCTATCCCTTGAATTGATTCTTCCTTCTGTCACCATGGTGTTCTCAGCTTAACAGCTGAGAGCTATCTGATTCTCATGGTACAGTGGGCCATAATACATTATTTTTGAACTTTAAAAGTAGATAGATTCTAAACCTCAAGGAATGACTGACTCTTCTGGCAAATGTAGGTGATGCTGACTGGCTAATAAGGAGAATAGCTCCATGACACATAAACTCTACCTAAATGGGATGCATATCCATGACCGAGGAATTCATTCTAAGGTCTAACAACAAGAGAAATATACTAAAATATCTTTAATGTTAATGGTTTAAAAAAAAACACTAAGTTTATTTGGAATTCAGTGTATACTGGGTAGTGTAGTTTAGAGAAAGAATGAATACAAAATACAAGGAGCCCTGAAGTGTAGGCTGAACCCTGTTACAAACATACACTGTGACCATCAGGATCCTGTTTCATAGATGGGGTTGATAGTGGTCTTTGTTCTGCTTGATAATAGTGGGAAAATACACAGAAGTAGTATGTGTTTCTTTCATCAGATTTACATAACTTTTCTTTCTCCAGTACAAGTATAAGGAAGGCTACCGCAAGCAGCTGGGCCACCACATTGGGGCCCGGAACATCGAAGATGACCCCAAGATGATGTGGTCCATGCATGTGGCCAAGATCCAGAGTGACCGGGAGTACAAGAAGGACTTTGAGAAGTGGAAGACCAAGTACAGCAGCCCGGTGGACATGCTGGGCGTGGTGCTGGCCAAGAAGTGCCAGATCCTGGTCAGCGACATAGACTACAAGCATCCTCTGCATGAATGGACCTGCCTGCCCGATCAGAATGACGTCATTCAGGCGCGGAAGGCCTATGACCTGCAAAGCAATGTAAGTGGGTCTGATGTCCTTCAGCCATGTCTTCAAAAAGTTCAGTGGGGGAAATCTGACATTTTCAGTGTCAGAGAATCTTTGGGAAGCTTAATAAAACCCATGAAATATACATAAAATAAGCATTGAGCTCAAAGGAAGCCAAGCATATTGAGAACGATTATGAAAATATTCAACCAAAACTGAGATATGATCATATGTGTACTTATTCACACATTAAATAGTTACAGCCCTACCTATAATAACTAGTTCCGAGTATAATAACTAATTCCAAAGAAAAGTGAAAGGCATAAATATTTTAAGAAGTCTGTAACATCTGCAAATAACACAAGTGTCCCTAACACATATTGCTAAAACACATGTAGTATTAATAGTGCTGTCATCTGTTATCCATAGTTATACTTGTTTGAATGCTATGTTTCACTTAGATGTTAATAAAAATATGGATGTTAGATTTAGTTATGTCCAAGTTTACTGATGTCAGGTTAAGGAGTCCTGATTTAAAGCAAACTAATTTCCCAATTGGACTGATTGTATCTCATCCTTTCATGGACTCAATTTTCTTATAGGAAACATCAGTAATAATTTGTGAATGAATGTTTAGGAATGAGACATGAACATTTTGGCCAATTTCTAGGAAACTGAAATATTGTAGTGACCTAAAATACAAGGGACACTTTTGTTGTCAGCAGTTGACACTCTGGGACCTCCCAGACACCCCCTTGTTGGTTCAGTAACTTCTGGTTTGGATTGGGCTCTGACTAAATAGTTGCTTTCTGAAAGAATATGAAAGTAATGATATTGCAAAGTTACAGGAAAAAAAGTTCTTCAAAAACCATAAAAATAAAATGTTTCCCTTAGAAGAAGTGTTCTATTATAGCTGATTATTTAAATCCAATGAAAAAAATGAATTCCAAGACAAGTCAAAAAAGACTTAGAATAAGTACAAGGAAAAGCAGGATTTAGAAGCACATACATATAAAGTCATGTAAAAATACTACTTTTATTTGCACAAGAAAACTACTTTTATTTGCATTCACAAGTGGTCAGTTGGTAGTATTCACCCTGTATCTATCATAACTATCTGTGAAGGCTGCTGCCAAGCAACATAATTCTCCTGTGTTCCAGGAGAATTATTCCCACGTGAAGAGGTGTGAGCATCACACCAGACGGCAAGCACCTTTCCCTAGAAGTCAGGCAGTAATGTTCCTATGTTTTGTTCCACTGAAATCCAATGTTGAAGAGATTTGATGGGTCTTAGAAATGCGGTGAACAACAGTTAACTCTAGGGACACAGGGTATTTGATAAGCCACTTTAGGCAAAGATGGGTCTTCCTGAAATTGTACACAACTACAATTCAGTATTTGTTTTGTTATGTGTTCAGTCAGTCAGACGCCAGGATGACGAGGCGACGTCTCAATGCTTAACACTTTGGTTTCTAGGCTGTCTACAAAGCTGATCTTGAGTGGCTGAGAGGCATCGGATGGGTTCCCATTGGCTCAGTCGAGGTCGAGAAGGTGAAGAGAGCCGGCGAAATCTTGAGTGACAGGAAGTATCGCCAGCCTGCCGACCAGCTCAAGTTCACTTGTATCACCGACACCCCGGAAATCGTCCTGGCGAAAAATAATGCCATCACCATGAGCAAGGTGAGTCGTTAGCGGCTGTCTGCCACCAGTCAGGCCTGCGGTGGACTTGACCCCTGAGGCGGGGAATGGCCGGGTGAGCCAGGGAGCAACAATCAGAAGGGCCCACTTCCACAGCCTCCTGCCAGAAGGACTGCAGGAATTCTAGCTAACTTCCGGTGCTTTTCTCCAACCATGGGTGCCCTCTAACAATGGGTGCACGTGAAAGCCAAGCCTGGAGATCATCTCCCTGCAGCTGCGACCTGCTTCTGCACGAAACATTTGGCCCAGGTGGAGCGCAGACGTAGGCCCCTGGTTCTCTTGGTCCGTGGTTCATGCCACAGCCTAGCTGCCTCTTTTGTTCAGCTGACTTGGGCTGTGAGAATCCCCTTTAGAAACCGAGCTGGTATTGTTATCACACAAGAGAGAAGAATGTTTTCCTCAGAGTCCCATCTGTCTGCTCATCCTTTATCAAATCAGTAACTCCTTAGTGGGTGCATGTGCATTCCAGGTTGAGTCGAACTGAGATGAGTTCTAACCCTGCCTGGGTGTCTTTCGCTTCTTCTGTTGTTGAGAGAGAGCTCTCAGAAGAGAATAAGAAATACCTCTAGGAAAGAGCTTGCAGAATGAAACTCCAGAAACCAGTTTACACCAAGAACAATCACAAAGGAGAACAGAGAGAAAGAAGCAGAGAGAATCTACTGTGACCTTTAAAGAGGAGCAGTGAGAAACACACACTTCATTCTCCGGAACACTCAGCTTCCAGCAAGTTGGGTTGAGCTTCGCCCGTAGGCTGACTTCTCTGTGTACGACCTTTGCTGTGTAACCAAGCACTCTGCAGAAGTTCTAAGAAGGGAAGCTCAGGGTTCACTAGGTGGAAAGGATCCACAGTTAGGCCATCATATTGGTTTATGGGTGTGTTCAGGCCATGCCCAGTTGTCTCCTTGTTGCCAGGTTTTACTGTTGACTACCTCTAGAAGGCTTTATTTGTAGTAAAAACAGGTTACAGTTGAGGGGAACTAACGTGACTGGGCTCAGCAGAAGGCTCTGCTCTCCTTCTCCACAGCATTTATACACGGAAGCTTGGGATGCCGACAAAGCCTCCATCCATGTCATGCCAGACACCCCTGAAATCCTGCTGGCCAAGAGCAATTCTGCCAATATCAGCCAGGTAAGAGGGGCCCTCGAGTGGTGGTTAAGTCTCTGTAGAAGCTATTGAAATGTTTGTCCTCCTCAACGATGTCTTCTTTGGGAGTGGCCTGTTGGGTTTCTAAAACGGTTCCATTCTCTGTTGTGTTTTGCCTTCTACCTAGAAACTGTACACCAAAGGCTGGGATGAATCGAAGATGAAGGACTATGACCTGAGAGAGGATGCTATTTCCATCAAGAGTGCCAAGGCCTCCAGGGATATTGCCAGCGACGTGAGTGCCTTCCCCTTAGATCCTGTGCTTTTTCCCATAGTGCCAAGCATTCTGGCTATTGAACCACTTTGCAATTGCTTCTATGTGCATTTCTCCAGATTAGTACCTCCCCAATTCATTTTGCAGAGAATACATTTTGGAATTAAAGTGGCTGCAGGGAAAATTCTCAAAAATGAGGATATATTAATCATTACACACTTTTAAATTTATTCTATTTTAGGTGTGTGTTTGCCTGCATGTATGTCTGTGCCCCATATGAGTGGCTCAAGGAGGCTAGACGAGGGCACATGACCCTCCAGAACTGTACAGGTTGTAAGCTGGGAATAGCACCTCATCCTCTAGAAGAGCAGCCAGGACCATTAACCACTGAGCCAGCTCTCCAGCCCAGCTATTTTCACGATAGCAGAGAAGCATAGAAATTATACTGAGATGTTAGAAAGTTGAGGTCTGAAATTCTTGTGCATACCACAAGATCTAAACCTGGTTTTCCTTGAACTGGTTTCTGGCATTTTAGTACAAATACAAGGAAGCCTATGAAAAACAGAAAGGCCACCACATCGGAGCCCAGAGCGTGGAAGACGATCCCAGGATCATGTGTGCCATGCACGCAGGGAAGATTCACAGTGACCGGGAGTACAAGAAGGAATTCCAGAAGTGGAAGACCAAGTTCAGCAGCCCGGTGGACATGCTGGGCTTGGTGCTGGCCAAGAAATGCCAGACCCTGGTCAGCGACGTGGACTACAAGAACTACCTGCACAACTGGACTTGCCTGCCTGATCAGAAAGACATTATTCAAGCCAAGAAGGCCTATGAGCTGCAGAGCGATGTATGTAGCACGAGCTTGGGGAATAAAGGGGCAGGGATGTTTGCTAGTTGTTCAGTCGGAGCCTCTGAGTATAGATCTGTGGGCTGTGAATAGCTCAGGCAGGGGTGGGGAGGAGGGAGAAGTATCCTTCACACTGTTTAATAGAAAAACCATGGCAAGCAAAATGCAGAGATGAACGCTCTTTTTCTTTTTATTTCTGAACTATTTTTTCATGCCATTTGTAATTTCTGGCAAATCAATACATCGTAATAACAGATACAGTAAATCTGAATATTTTAAAATGATTATCACCACTTCCAAAATACTAAACAGGATGTGAGTTATTTGTCACGGGGTTAAAATGGAGTGAGAGTCAGCACAGGTTCCCTTTAAACCTTCCCCAGTTATGCAATTGCTTTAACATTTCATATAAGTATACTGTGGGATTCATAAATACTGCTATATTAATGGATAGTAGAAATAACTGTTTCCACCAGTTACTTTTGTCATCAGTATTAAAACCCCTGCATCCTCTGAGAACTCAGCTCTTTCTCGTGTACTACCAACATCCCCCATGCTCCTCTGCCCCTCTCCTCAAGCCCTTGGGTTTTCAGCTACTAGAGGGCATGTCTAACATTCGCAACACTGTGGTCTGACATCTTGGCAGAGTGTGTATAAAGCAGACCTGGAGTGGCTGCGTGGGATTGGCTGGATACCAGAGGGCTCCGTAGAAATGACCAGAGTGAAGGGCGCTCAGGACCTTGTGAACGAAAGACTGTACAGGACACGACCAGAGGCCCTGAAGTTCACCTCCATCGTGGACACTCCCGAAGTTGTCCTAGCAAAAGCCAATTCTCTGCAAATGAGTGAGGTAAGAATCACCCACCTATTAAGCTTTTGTGTTTCTCGATACAGCATTCAGTTAAAGACAAGTAAAGCTGAGTCAGACTGTTTTCTTCAAAGATTTCCAATGAGCGTGCAGACCTGAGGGTCTCTTAACTAGCTTAATGCAGCCACATTGGAAATAGCACTCTGATAGGGGGGACGTGTCTTTCCCTTCTCACAGGGACTTTGGAGCACTAAACTGAAAGATGTCACTCCACAGTGATTCCAGGAAATGAGTATTATAACTCTTACTAGTACCAAGGCACAGGACATAATACTACGTAGCAGTGGGGCATTGCACGAGGCAAGAGTCAGCAGAGAAACAGATCCAGTGTGACCTTTCTGTAGATGTATATGTAGAAAGAGATTGCAGTCTTAAGAAATTGGCTCATGTGGTTATGCAGGCTGGCAATTCCAGAATCTGCAGGACAGATGAGAAGGTTAGAGACCCAGGGGACAATCACAGCTCAGTATTGTGGGTGGTTTCTTACAGAATTCCTTCTGGATGGGGAAGATGAGAGTATAACAACCTCCAACTGATGGATGAGGCCCATCCACACAATGGAGAGCTCATTGTGGTATTTGTAGTCTCCTGAATATTTTCAGGATCTGTCTGAATCCCAATGCCTGCTCAGTTGAGCCTCAAATTTGCCATTCTAAGCACATACAGGAACATTTGCTTTTTTAGATAAAGTTGTTGCTAAGACTTAATGTTTCGGCTGTCCATTCTCTGTTGCTGAGCTGACGTGATGTTTCCTTTTGTCCTCAGAGGCTGTATCAGGAAGCCTGGAATAAAGACAAAACCAACATCAGCATTCCCCTGGACACTCCAGCCATGCTGCAGGCTCAGATCAATGCCTTGCAGATTAGCAATGTAAGAGAAATAACCGTGGTGTGGAGAAGCCTCTATCTTCTTGCTAACAAGTAGTGCCCTATCTTTTAGCTAATGACTAACGCCCATGCTGTTGGTGTTACTTTTTTTTTTCTTTAACATCCATGGATAGAAGTTCTGTCTTTTAAGAGGTTATCAAAGCCAGGTTATATCACACCTTTAATCCCAGCACTTGGGAGACAGAGACAGGCAGATCTCTGAGTTTGAGGCCAGCCTGATCTACAGAGTGAATTCCAGGACAGCCAACACTACACAGAGAAACCCTGTCTTGAAAAGCAAGCAAACAGAAACATTGCACAAATGCATGACTGAGTGTCTAGACTAGGTGTTCTCTCTTCGGCCTCGAAAGGTCTTCTCCCCATGGCCAATGACAGTGCCTTCGTTCCTCATGTGTTCCTGAAATAATAAATCCCTAGTCAAGCGCTTCCATGCCCAACAGTGCCTACTGCTATCTTAGGTCTTCTGATGAGACCTTCTTGTTTGACATTCCAAAGTCAAGTGATAGGCAAAGTAAAATTTTAATTACATTCAGAGATCGTGAGTTAATATCACATTCCTTCAAAAGAATACTCTTGAGTTAAAGAGCAAAATTAAAGGTAAACCTTAGGAGATCTTCATGGGCCTTAATGAAGCATCCTTGGTTTCACTGTTCAGTCTGAAGTATCCACGTACTGGGGAAGAGGGAGGTTTTCAAATGCACACCACGTTGGAATGAAAGTAAATATTCTGTCATTGGTACCGCTAGATGCTTAGCTTTAAATTTTACATCAGAGGTATTCCTGCTACAAAGCAAGCATCCAGCAGCAAAGGGACTGACTCAGCGATGCATGTTTTTCCTGCACTGCCTTTACATTATGAATTATGATATCTGCTATGCCTGCTACGAGTCTGTCTTCATTTTCTAAACAAACCTGTGCTCTGGCTCTCTAGAAACTCTACCAAAAAGACTGGGATGAAGCCAAGCAGAAAGGCTATGACTTACGAGCGGATGCCATTGAAATCAAGCATGCCAAAGCCTCCAGAGAAATCGCCAGTGAGGTAACTTCCTTCTGCTCTGGGATTTTCTCCCCCATAAACAAATGGACTGCTTCAGTAACCCTGTTTCCTTTCCTTAACCCGTGCAAACAGCTGCATTTTATGTTGTATATTATTTATCAGTAACAACGAAATATGAAACTGCTTTTAAATTTTGGGGTGAAAATGGAGGAACCAATACAGTGTCATTATATCCCCAAATATTTCTGGCATTCTCCACAGTGTAAATGATGGTCATTCGGTACAACACTTCAGGCTGAAATCACACTTTTTATCAAATATTTTATGCTAGAGGCTTATAATATTCCAGCTACATTTTCAATTTCACTTCCTACTAATCCAACGTTCACAAGCAGTAACATGGTCCAAGCCATCCCCTACTCCCAGCTCCAAGCCTCAAACATGCCTTCCTTTCTCTGGTTCCTCTCTTTGCCTCATCTGTACACATAGCTGCTTCCTCCTCCTCGGCCCTCATTTTCTCCCCTTACCTACACCTTAATCCCAATTCTCTGTTTGATCCAAATACTTCCAAAGGGCACTATCCCCTCCAAAGCTTATCAGATGGAGGTCATTGTCCACAGACCTATTGTCATTTCCTGTTTGAAACCAGTGAACTTGCTTTATGAAAAACGTATATTTTTCTAGTCTCTAAAACCGTGCCTATGACTCTTCCATACCTGAGACCCCTTCAGTGCCCTCGGGTCTGTCTGACTGAACCCTTTACCTACCTAGCAACCTCATTACTATGCCGTCTTCTTCTGAATTATAGGACGGTATAGGACCTACCTCACTGCAACACTGTGAGAATTAACTGTTATTATAACTGTCACTGTGTGATTATTTTTTAATGTAAAAAAAACATTATTTTAGTGTGGATGAACCTCACACATCTGAAGCTCTTGTCTTAGTAGTGATTGCTCATAAATTTTAGATTTGTATGTTATTCTAATTACGTATTGTTTTCTTCCTGATTTGTCTGCCTAAAATAGTCTTGATTTCTTTAGACTCGAACAGACAATGGCTTTCAGTGTTGAGCCAATTTGCATTAAAATTAAGATTCTGAAATAACTTAAAGGAAAGACATCAATATCTTATTTGTCTTTTTCTGCTTTCTTTCCCCCGCAATATTAGTACAAATACAAAGAAGGTTACAGAAAGCAACTGGGCCACCATGTGGGTTTCCGCAGCCTGCAAGATGACCCCAAGTTGGTATGGTCTATACATGCTGCCAAGATCCAGAGTGACAGGGAATACAAGAAAGCCTATGAGAAGTCTAAAGGGATTTACAACACACCCTTGGACATGATGTCAATTGTTCAAGCCAAGAAATGCCAAGTCCTGGTCAGCGACGTTGATTACCATAATTACCTGCACCAGTGGACATGCCTGCCGGATCAGAACGAAGTGATCCAGGCTAAGAAAGCCTACGAGCTGCAGAGTGATGTGCGTATGTCTTCACCTCCAGGGAGATGACGTGTGCAGGTCTAAGTGTAGTGTACGCTCTAGAGACATCCCTTTAGACAGTAATCTTCTAAGGCATTCTGGACAATCCAGGGTAACAGTAGGAGCTGTCCTGACATCTCTTGTCTTGTGAAGGATTCTTGTTGACAGTAGCAGGATCCTATTCACCAAGATAAAAATAATCAGTCTTGTTCTGTGTAATTCAATAGAAAATATTGGTTCCTCTGTTCTGATCTTTGCAAGATCAGCTGTCTAAATTTCAGAAACAGATAGAAGCATAAGGAAATGTTGGTTTAATTCAATTGGCACACGTAGAAAATACTATAGAGATATTTTATAAAGGGCTCCTTCCCTAATATTCCTATAGCTTCTAGTCCCAGTGGTTCAAGAGAGACCATGAGCTTCTTCTAGAGACAGGTGCCAGAGATAAAACACGCAGAGATTCACGTTTAATCTGAATGCCCTTTGGCTGACTTACAGAGGGGTTCTGTGCGGTGTTCAAGTATCGGATTCTACTGGCTAACCTGAGTCTTCTTACTGTGTGTTTCCTTCCTCCGTGTAGAACGTGTACAAGTCAGACCTGGAATGGATGAAGGGTATCGGATGGTTGACAGAGGGTTCTGTGGACGTCGTGCGAGTGAAGAATGCTCAGAATCTTCTGAACGAGAGGTTGTATCGTATAGGGCCCGAGGCCTACAAATTCACAAGCATTGTCGACACCCCAGAAGTGATCCTGGCGAAGACCAACGCTGTGCAGATCAGTCAGGTAAGCTGCTGTGGTTCTGTGTCCAAGAGAAGTCTCAGTTGAGGGGAATTCAAGTGGTGAACTTCAAATTGCCACTATCACAGGAAGTAAGATCTGGGGCACAGCTGAGTCCACATCTTCAGCCAGTCAGCCATCTCTGTAATTGACACATCTTGGGTCAAAACAACGGAGTCCAAACTCTGATGCACATTTTAATTGCATCTGAAGTTGCAAACTAAAATGCGATTTAGTCCTATAACCACAGAACTGTCACTTACGTGTGGCTACTCAATGATGACGTAGACTGAGAAGTCCCGGAACAATCCCATCTTTAGGCATCACGACAGTTAATTTGGCTAAGAAAGCAAAGTCTTAGTTAGCATTGTCTAGTATCAGAATTGCCTATCATATAGACTGAAGGGTCACATAATTAGATGTGGAATTGGGCAAGAGTTTTTACTAGCACATTAAAATTTATTTATATTGTATCATACACAAATTATTCATGAAATTAGTATTTGTAAATAAAATGCAGTGTATATGTACACACACACATACGCACACACACACTTGTGTGGTAAGGAACTCCCTAATCTGCTGTTATCACTCTTCTTATCCACCAGCCCCTGTATCGTGATGCCTGGGACAAAGAGAAGGCTAAAGTGAACGTGCCGGCTGACACGCCAGTGATGTTGCAGTCCAAGCTCAATGCCATCCAGATTAGCAATGTAAGATGCCACGGTATTTGCTTCACAGAGCACTCCTGTCCACATCTTCCCTTACTGTGCTCAGCAAAAGTTGTGCCAAAAGCATGGCCCTTTTATTTCAAGTCTTTAAGACACTAGGAATTTGTATGTCTCTCTCTGCTTTTTATAGTGTAGCGATATATCCTTGTTGGAAAGGGAAAGGCAATGGTTTCTCAAAGAAAGTAAAACGTAACTTAAACGTATTTGTAGCATATTGCTTTGTTTTCCTTTTCAGTGAGCCATCACTGTTTTTATCTTAAAAGCCCACCAATTTATAGTTTTGTGATTTTTATATGGCTTTCTGTCTCTGAAATTTCTGACACAAACACACACACACACACACACACACACACAAAATATTGGAGATTCCTTTACGGAACACCTTGAAGTGTGCTGGAAGTCAAATTGAGTGTGAAACTAGTGTGTCATATAAATCCTGAGAAGATTTATGTTGAGCAGAAGTGTTGGCAACAGTTCATTTTTTACAATCAGTAACATAGTATTTTACTGTCACTGTCGGATGTGTGTATACAAGAGTTGTTCTCGATCTTAATGCTAACTCAGCAGCTCCCTCTTCAGACTTACTGTGGCATTGCACTCCCTGTTTGCAGAAACAATATCAGAAGGCTTGGGACGATGTCAAGATGACGGGTTATGATATACGTGCAGATGCCATTGGGATCCAGCATGCCAAGGCTTCTCGGGATATCGCCAGTGATGTAAGAGCTCTTCCTTGTTCACAAACACTGAGTCCTAGACACATGGGGAGGTGACTTAATTCCTCAAGAATTAGAGTAGAATGCCAGTAATTTTCCGAATGTATTATTTTAAAATTCCAAATTCCAGAACAACTTGTCCAGTGATTTGAGAAGATTCCTTGCCTGCTCTTAGTTCTACAATTCCTATATTTTTATGCACAAAATTTTTCTCACCCCCCCTTCCCAAATCTTAACATCAGTTGATTTACAAGAACACAGTTTGTTGGGTTAATGAACATAGAAAATGTTGCTGTCACCCTGAAGTGTGACACATATACTATTTGTGGTTCCTTAGATAGTTTTCAGAAGTACAGGGACAAGTTTTCTTAACTGTAAAATTTTAATTTTAGTTAAAAATGTAAATTTAGTTTTAAAAGTAATTTTAATTTAAAACGAACCTCAATTCATTGTAATGTAACAGAGATGTTGATTACCTTCTACTTATGTTATGCATTTATTTATAATTCAGTTTAAAAATAAGTTTATAATTTCAAAGTAACTCCAAGCAATTAATTTTATTTAACATGATAGTGAGTACAGGCTTGTGGTTGTTTATGATAAAGTATCTGAAGGTAGTAAGCGGTGACTCAAGTCTGGGAGATGCTGATGAGGTTCGAGCAGGCAAATGTTTAGGCAATGGGTCTTATTTTCAGGGTGCCCACAGTGTTTCCAGACATATGTTCTTAGAAAAATATCGTGACAAAAAGTGCAAAAAAAAAAAATTACAGCATGACCTTAGAGAAAAAAAATAGTGTCCAGAATAAAAGTGGCGCAAGGAAGGTGGAGATACTGTCAATGGGAAAATGCTGTCTTTAGGAAAAGCATGCTTGAAGAAAAACCTTATCTTCCTTCTTGTGCCCACGTTTCCCAGTATCTGTACAAGACGGCTTATGAGAAGCAGAAAGGCCATTACATTGGATGCCCCAGTGCCAAGGAAGACCCAAAACTGGTTTGGGCAGCAAATGTGTTAAAGATGCAGAATGACCGGCTGTACAAAAAAGCCTACAACGACCACAAGGCCAAGATCTCCATCCCAGTGGACATGGTCTCCATCAATGCTGCCAAAGAGGGCCAGGCATTAGCAAGCAACGTGGATTACCGGCAGTACCTGCACCAGTGGTCTTGCTTTCCAGACCAGAACGATGTGATCCAAGCCAGGAAAGCCTACGACCTGCAGAGTGATGTAAGTGTCCCCAGGAAGAACGTCCTCCACAGCTCCCCATGCTGGCTCTTGTCAGCATCCTAGGAAGCCCAGCTCTCCCATGTGACCACAACCCTTTACTATTTTGCCGGATTTTTTTAATGACTCTGCTATGGCCAGATTTGTTCGGGAAGTTCTAATTTTCATTGATAAGGTGCTATGGGAATTTTCCTGGAGATTTACTGAGGTCTTTAACACTTAGGGTTTGTTCAGTGTAAGGATAGCCATGGCCCTTTAGCTGTATATATTGAGGACTGATAGAGATGGAATGAATTCAAAGATTAGGGACATGGTCTGAATTCACCTATTTCTATTCCTCAATGGAATGTTGTTAGCATCAGGGGGTTTATCTTGGCCAAGACATTTTTAGATTTATTCATACTCTATGCCAATTCAATTTTTCAAAAACGACGGATTCTATAAGGTTATGTGTATCTTTTTAAATTATTTATTTTATGTATATGGGTATTTTGCCTGCATATCTGTCAGCACACGATGTATGTGCCTGGTGCCCGCAGAGACACGGGAACTCTTGTTACACACAGTTGTGAGCCCCCCCATGCAGGTGCTGGAATTGAACCAGGGTCCTCTGGAGGAGCAGCCAGTGCTCATAACCACTGCCTCATCTTTCCAGCCCAAGGTTATGCATTTTTTGTGTGCAATGGATGTCTTCTTTTAATTTTCTGAACTTGGTTTCCTTATTCTTCAGGAGGTGCTTATTAAATGTACTACAATAGTAGTATGCCTAGAGATGGCTTAAGTTGCCTGGTGGCAGAGGCAGGCTAGTTTTAGAATAAACTGCATTGGTATACTGAGTCATGTATTTAAATCACAGTCTTTAAAAACGAGCAAGGGAAATGTGAATTTTTAAGCTGACTTATTTTAAGATTTTTCCTTTGAGATTTTTCTAGTATTTCCATTCTCTTATTCCCATTTTAGCTTGACGTTTGTGTCCCATAACTAGCTATTAAGATATCATTTCTAAGCAATGGCTTTTTATATTACTTGCTGGTGTTTTAACAATAGGACAGTTTTATGTGCTTGTCTTTTATATGTGGCGTGATAATCAGGGATACGCCAGATCCCAGTTGGAAGAAAGGGACTCTCTTAGATAAAGAAAACTCAATTAGTGCCAACATTGTGCAGTTGGTTTTTGAATTTTTAATTATCCCTCTCAAAATACTTATTAAATCTGCCATGTGCCAGGCATTGTATTAGCACAGAAGGTGTGAAGGAAAAGCAAGGTGTGGCTCTAGGTTTGAGGAAGTTCACAGTGAAGCAGAAATGCGTGAAGCGAAGAGTGCCCACGAAAATGGAAGGGCGGGGGAGGTATGTTCGGCGGCACTGTGAAAAGAGAAGTGGAACTTTCCTTGGAAGAAGCGCTGGTTTAGCAGGCTCCTGAAGGTGAAGGGGACACTCAGGGACAGCCAGTGTGATCAGGACACAGAGGGAAGGCATGGGAGGAGGCTGGAAGGGAAGGTGCCAGCTAGTACCAGTCCAGAGTCCGTGCTGAAGTCTTAGGTCTTCATCTTGAAACCTGTAGGCTGTATATGACGGGGACGCCATGGTTCCAGGTTTGAACAGAGAACTTTGTGAAGGTCATTCTGGTTATGTAGAGAGCCATTTTTTATGGCTTTGATTAGCTAGATACCCATCATAAATCATCCCTGCATATGCCCAAGTGGAGGGCTGCTTCCACACGTACATAAGTGTAGGCCCCCGGCACAACTGAAACCAAACACAGCTGTGTAGGTGGACAATTATTACTTGTGAAAAGGAAAACCCGACATAAAGAAAATGGCTCCCTGTTTCATTGCCACCATCAGAAAGAGACAATATAGCATCTACTCAATTGGGTCTTCTCCCCAGGCCATCTACAAGGCTGACTTGGAATGGCTGCGCGGCATTGGCTGGATGCCAGAAGGGTCTCCTGAAGTACTGAGAGTCAAAAATGCCCAGGAGATCCTGTGTGACAGCGTCTACCGGACCCCTGTGGTGAAGCTCAAGTATACAAGCATTGTGGATACACCGGAAGTCGTCCTTGCTAAGTCAAACGCCGAGAATATCAGTATTGTGAGTCGCTGTTGTTCCCTATGCATTAAAACTAAATCCTATCTACACATGACCATCAAACAAAAATATGAAATGTTGGCCACCTATTTTTAGGATAAATATTGATAAATGTAAGCAGCATGAATAATAGCATTGTTTTGGCTTGGGTTATTTTTAAAACCTAAAATATTAATGATGAATACAAATATAATATTCTTACCAAATTTGAGTAACTTACAGGTAAAAATTATAAAAACTTGTACCTTAATGTGAAAAGATTCTGGGTCAGACCAAAAAAAAAAAAGTTCTAAGTTGTTCACTGAAACTAGCAAAAAACTGTAATGATTTCTGTTTTGTTTGTTTTGGTTCTTTCCATAGCCAAAATACAGAGAAGTTTGGGACAAAGATAAAACTTCCATCCATATAATGCCAGATACACCTGAAATTAACCTCGCTCGAGCGAACGCTCTTAATGTGAGCAATGTAAGTATCGCACTCGGCCACTCGGCTGGCTGGCACATTCCCATGACCAGGGAGAATCAGGGTAGCCGAGGGGGAGAGTACTCCTGGCTGCCAGCACTTGGCCCACAGTGAGGAGCAGAGCAGAGCCCTGGCCCCAAGGCCTAGTGAGCCAGCAACCACAGGGCCAAGGGTGAGGGGAATAAGAACAAGGAAGAGGAAAGAATAAAGAAATGCACAGGCTAGAAAAAGGAGGTAATGGCAGACTCAAACTCAGTTCACCTAAAATTGTGATATCATCAACAGTTATGAAACTGTCATGGAGTCCCCATGCTGAATGGTGGGGGTTTTAAATTACGTGTTTAAATTACTGTTATTCCTGCGTCTTTCTGCCATGAACCATACAGAATGTAGCCTTTAAAATGTATGTGACACATATATGTCTCAGACATGTACACTAGCCAATGCTATCATTTTTGATATATGACATTCTCGTGCATGTGATGACTCTGAACTGTCCTTGGCTGTGACCTTTTATGATAGTTCCCTCCAATCCAACTTTAAAATAGAAAATAAGGACCTTGGAGGGGAGTGATAAATTACTACTTTATTGCTCTTGTTTTTAACAACAACAAAAAGATAGCTGTCCCATCCAACTGTCCTTTATCAGAAAATCTGATGTGCTTAAACAATATGCACCATTGGTTCTAGAAGAGAGAACAGGCCATACTGGGAAGGAAAAAGCTCAAAACCGTAAAACATCTGTCGTGGTCACACTAACAAAGCTGAGCTAAGGAGACTTGGTAGCAGCCTGTTAGCATCTAGCTTGTCCCCTTGCTGTCTACACCGACCCTGAGAAAGGGAGGTTGACACAGGCCTCGGACAACCAGGGGAGGCTATGAGGCAAGGGAACAAGAAAGAAGCCCCGTCGGCTCCAGGTCTTTGACTCTAGATACTACTTCGTGTTCCAGAACAATGATGTAGAGAAAACATTTTTTTTTTTTTTTTTTTTTTTTTTTACCTCTGGTACCTTTTGTCCTCTTCAGAAACTCTACCGTGAGGGGTGGGATGAGGTCAAGATGAGCTGTGATGTCCGGCTGGATGCCATCCCTATCCAGTCTGCCAAGGCCTCCAGGGAGATTGCCAGTGATGTAAGTGGCCCGTCCATGCCTTCCGGGTTCTTTCCCAACAAATTCTCTGTGTGCGTCCGAGTACCCGCCGTGACCCATCTGCTCTGCTGTTTTCTCTGCAGTATAAATACAAGCTGGACCACGAGAAGCAGAAGGGACACTACGTGGGCACCCTCACTGCCAGGGATGACAACAAGATCCGGTGGGCCCTCATAGCTGGCAAGATTCAGAATGAGCGGGAGTACAGGCTGCAGTGGGCCAAGTGGAAGACCAAGTTCCAGAGCCCCGTGGACATGCTTTCTATCCTGCACTCTAAAAAATGCCAGACCCTGGTCAGCGACATTGATTACCGCAATTACCTGCACGAGTGGACATGCATGCCTGACCAGAACGATGTGATTCAGGCCAAGAAAGCCTACGAGCTGCAGAGCGACGTGAGTGGGCCGTACTGTATCATTCTGCTTTAACTCCCAGACAGATCATGGCATAACATACCTTTGTCACAATTACATGTCTTTAATGGTCCCGAATTTGATAGTAGTTAGGCCTCTCAGTGCGGTATCAGAATTGGCAATGCCAGGAAGCCTATAAATTTCACGTAAAGAAATTAATGGCAGTGTAAATGAATCTTGATGGAAGGTCCCAAAAAACTTCTTTGGCAAATCAGGGACATGGTAGCACACATCTCTAATCCCAGCATTTAGGAGTCAGAGGCAAGAGGGTTGCTGCCAATTCAAGGCAAGCCTGGTCTAGTGCAAGAGCTACACAGTCAGATCCTGCTGGAGGGGAGGAAGGAGATGACAGTGGATGGCTGTGGAAAACTATTGTCTGCAGCAGTTAGACAGTATCAAGGTTTGTACAAATGAGCTGTTGGTAGTTCATACTCGGATCTAGGCACATATACACTTTTCCAACTGACGCAACTGTTAAGAGAGCTCGAGAAAGCTGTCAAAGTTTCAATTCGGGAAATTTTATGGCAAGTCTAAAACTTCCTGTTTCTCTTAAATTCTGAACGTGCAGCTCAATACAGGTGCTGCCTCTTGGCAAATGTACCCTGCAGCTGAATTGAGGGTAGTTCATATTCAGTAGAAAAAAAATATCCTCCAGCTGCAGCTACCTGGCCCGGCTGCTTTTACTACTCTACCTGCCTGGCTACCTGAGTGCGTCTCTAGTGGCTTTTACACTATTTACATTGTATTTCCTCATCAGACCACTAGGCTCCAAGAATTAGACTTGTTAAATTAACTCTGCCCTTCTTTTCACAGGCTGTTTACAAGGCTGACTTGGAGTGGTTACGTGGAATTGGGTGGATGCCGAACGATTCTGTTTCTGTCAACCACGCCAAACATGCTGCAGACATTTTCAGTGAGGTACTCCAAGATTGTGCCCAGCCATTCTACACATTTCCTTAGAACATGAGCAAGAGGCACGAGCCAATATGTATAATCACCTTAGCTCAGCCTTTTAACCGTTTTCCATTGCTGAGATTTAAGCCAGACTTTGTCCACAATGTACTATTGCTATCACATTAGGGACCGCGTCCCTGACAGCATCCAGCACACTCACCCAGGCGTGAGATAGCACAAATGGGAAATTTCTGTTGTCAACAATTGCAGTGTACAGTTGTTGGGAGAAGTTCTTCCAGTTGGAAAAATGGAATATCATGATACAAGTAATGATGAGACCTTGGGAGGTGAGCGTTTTGCTGCTTTAAAGTCTGCGAGGCCCTGAATTCAAACCTCAATATCGAAAGGTCATAGGTAGTATAATAAGGCAGCATGGGTGTTTTACAAAATATGGTGCTAAATTTCCAAGAAAATGCCATTCGCTGAAGGCACTGTACCCCCCCTAACAGAGAAGGACCCCTTAATTTATTGTCTCTCAGCTCGCACATCCAGACATATTTCTCTTTTTCTCTCAGAAAAAATACCGCACCAAAATAGAAAGTCTCAACTTTACTCCTGTGGATGACAGAGTGGATTATGTGACAGCAAAACAGAGCACTGAGATCCGAGACGACGTGAGTTTGCACTGCCGTGAAAGCATACAGCCCTGCAGAGGCTGTTGCCATGACACCCTGCCTCTTGGGATCATTGAGCTATATTCCCATCGCCCAAATTATCGATGCTAGCAATGTTTGGACAACAGAGAGATTTCTTTTTGTTTATTTGTTTTTTGTTTTTATTGAGTTGGATATTTTTCTCCACTCCCCTCCCTTCCTCCCCTCTACCCTTCTACCCTCTTTTGTGATCCCCATACTCCCCATTTTACTCAGGAGATCTTGTCTTTTTCTACTTTCCATGTAGATGAGATCCATGCATGTCTCTCTTTAGGGTCAAACAACAGAGATTTCTTAACATCAAGTAACTTACCCTAATGCCTCTCACTTTCAGATTAAATACCGGAAAGATTGGAATGCCATCAAATCAAAGTATACCCTTACAGAAACGCCGCTGCTGCACACTGCCCAAGAGGCTGCCCGCATCCTGGACCAGGTAGGGGATTTTTGCAGTGGCCTAATGCTTGGAGATAGGAGAATCATAACAGGTCTGTAGGAGATTTACATACCTGACGTCATCCTCCTCGGATGGCTCATTTAGCCCCTCTGGTGGCTCTTTGTCTTTTAGCAACTCTACAAGGAAGGCTGGGAGAAACAGAAAGCTACCGGTTACATCCTGCCGCCAGATGCTGTACCGTTTGTCCATGCGCATCATTCCGGCGATGTTCAGAGTGAGGTAATTTATCCCAACATGTCTGGACCCTGCAGAAACTGGACCTTGCCAGAAAGGGACACGGGTTGTAAAACACACATGTCAGCTTGAGGATGCCCCCATCTCAGATTGGTAGACTTGGCTGTGCTTATTGAGGGCTGAAATACTGCCTCCCTTTTGGGTCTTTCTACTTTGGTTTTGGGCCTTAGTTTTGGTTTGTTTTTGTTTTGTTTTGTTTTGTTTTGTTTTTTTCCTTGTATCTTCTGACCTCTATAAAACCTGCAGGCTCCCAAATAAAGAAATTGCCACAATTAAAGAACAAACAAGCTTATGAGGTTTTTCTCTATTTTAAAATGGCTGCCTCGGCCAGGTGTTTATGCACAAGCCTATAATCACAGAACTTAAGAGGTAGAGGCAGGAGGATCAGGAGTTCAAGGAGAACTTCAGCTCTACTTTATAAAGGCCAGCCTCCACTTGGCGAGCGAAGAAACTGGCTAAAACAACAACAATAGCAAGCCTAAACTAGCTATTTCTTCATCTCGGTTTGTCTCAGTGGCATTTATCTCTATTTTAGTGTGGTTTTTGTTATCTCAGAATAGAAGTGTCCACCAGAAAGCTAGGGAGTGAAACTGCTGGCTGTTCCTCTTCTTCATCAACCCTACTTTGTGCCGCGTGCTTATCAAAGCTGACGGGTTCCATATTCTGCCTCTCCCCAGCTGAAATACAAAGCAGAACACGTGAAGCAGAAAGGCCACTATGTTGGTGTTCCCACAATGAGAGACGATCCCAAGCTGGTTTGGTTTGAGCACGCGGGCCAGATTCAGAATGACAGGCTCTACAAGGAGGACTACCATAAGACGAAGGCCAAAATCAATATACCTGCCGACATGGTGTCAGTGGTGGCTGCCAAGGAGGGGCAGAACCTTGTCAGTGACATTGATTACCGCCATTACCTGCGCCAATGGACGTGCCATCCTGACCAAAATGACGTTATTCAAGCAAAAATCGCCTACGACCTTCAGAGTGACGTAAGTGGCTGTCGTTTCTTGTTATCTCTACTACACCATACACTATGAGAATAATAAAAACAGCATTCCGTCTTTGACACTTTGAGCCACAAGGATTGAGTTTGTCCCTAGAAAGGAATAATGCTAGAGACTGAGCTGAGATTTTTAGCAATCTTGATCGAAGATGAAGGCTGAGGAAAGCCGACCTACTTCCCTGGATGTCTTACTCCTCAAGAGACTTAAGTAGCTGCTTATAAGGGAAAAAAAAGAGAGAGAGAGAGAGAGAGAGAGAGAGAGAGAGAGAGAGAGAGAGAGAGAGAAAGAATGAATATGGAACTGTAAGCTGCATGAGCCCAGTATCCCTCAGGAGGGTAATATGATACACCACCTCACCCTGAAGCCTGAAGTGAGCACTCTCCGCACCCCCAGCCTTTTGTGGGAGAGGACCAGAACGTGCACTGGAGTCCCATCTCAGACGCAGAAGAGTAACTCAACATGGCTCTTTTCATCATTACCAGATGGAAGAGATTGCCTTATTGTTTGCTACAAAGTGACTGGTGGTCAGCTTTCCTCCAGTCAGCCAGTCTAGGAGCTAGGGTTGGAGAGAAGGTGGTGATGGGAACAGGCAACCTTGTCCAGACTAGAGGAGATGCCTCCCCATTCCCTAGACCTTCATGAGCATGTCCATGTATACTCTCCTTCTTGTAGTCCAGGTAGCTAGCATGAGATACCCTGCCCATCTATGACTGTAGCCTCTTTGGTAAACCTTTCCTCACGGCCACAACTTATTCCTAACTCCAGACACCCTCCAACAACCTAGCTGTCACAGCGCTTCACCTTGTGTTGAGTCCTTAAGGCACTGAATTCATGGCCTTGTGCAGTCACAGGCTCAAGAAGTAATACCAGGCAAAGCCATGGCTGAATGAACGAGAAAACAGCCGCTAAAGAAAAATCCATCACAATCTTCTGAAAGATTGTCTGGAATCCTCTGCGGTTATCCTGTGCCACCTACGGCCCCTTCCATCTCTCCTCTCCCCTCAGAATGTCTACAAAGCTGACCTGGAATGGCTCCGAGGTATTGGCTGGATCCCTCTGGATTCTGTGGACCATGTGAGGGTTACAAGGAACCAGGAAATGGTGAATCAGGTATGCAGAGCTGTTGGATTTTTAACCTAATGCCTACTTTCCTTACCTGCCACACAGGGATGGGGTGCCCTGTGGGGACAGAGCTATCTTAATTGTCTCTATTCATTTCAGATAAAATATAAGAAAGATGCTCTTGACAACTATCCCAACTTTACCAGTGTAGTGGACCCTCCAGAGATTGTTTTAGCCAAGATTAACTCAGTCAATCAAAGTGATGTAAGTTCATATTGTTTATGTTGAAGTGCTTGGACCAAGAAGCTAAGTGAATTATTAATTCTAGATAACTGACAACTTGCAATTTATCCCTCTCTCAATTTTAAGATGATCTTTGACAATGGTATATATTGCATCCACTTTTACATATCTGTATTCTTGACCAGAATATTCAATTAGCTAAAATGAACTGGAAGTCAACCAATTGGTTAGTTTTTCCTATGTAAAAGTAGATTATTATGTCTTCAAGGTATGTCCTAGGAAATTTTAAATGTGAGTTTAGGCTAACCAAAAGGTTTTATTTTTCCTCTTTTTAGGTGAAATATAAGGAAACATTTAATAAGGCAAAGGGCAAGTACATATTTTCTCCAGACACACCACACATCACCCACTCCAAAGACATGGGGAAACTCTACAGCACTGTGAGTCCTATTTTATATAATGACTTGTTTCCTAATTACGGTCTTGTCAATTTTCATATTCTTAACTTGTTTGTAAACTGACGAACTTGGAGGGTGGCCAGTTGTCTTCATTGCTTCTACTAATGCAAATAAATAGGTAATGGTATAGCAAGTGTTATCAGGGCTCTGAGGACAGCACAAAGGATGGAGCAGGTACCAAAAAGAAAGAAAAAATGGAGAACACATCCCTCCTCAACAACCCTACATGTACAATCCCAGTCAGCAAATGGAAGGCCTATACTTCCTAATTTAATCCAGCTAATTTAAAGAAGTGTGTGTGTATGTGTATATGTGTGTGTATGTGTGTGTGTGCCAATATGGAACAATGTTTGGTGAGTCTTTTCCTTATGTGCAAATTTATCATCATTTTTTTCAAGAAGTATAAATGTAATCAACTGTTATAAAATGTTTCCATTTGTAGATTTAATCAAATAACTTTCTGGTTTTAGGTTAGGCACTCTAATGATGATAATCATTCTTGCCTTGAACATAAATGATGGTTTGGGTATAAGTAAATGTGATTCTGTTAACATACTTTTTTTTTTGTTTCAGATACTATACAAAGGAGCATGGGAGGGAACCAAGGCCTATGGCTACACCCTGGATGAGAAGTACATTCCCATCGTTGGAGCCAAGCATGCCGACCTGGTGAACAGTGAGGTCAGTTTGACTGTTTCCTCTCCTAGGATCAGAGTCTTTATTGAGGAGCAAGAAGTTGGATAGAAAACTCCAGCGATTCTCAATGTTGAACCCATTTTTCAGCTGAAATACAAAGAAACCTATGAGAAGCAGAAGGGTCACTACCTGGCTGGGAAAGAAATAAGCGAATTCCCCGGAGTGGTCCACTGCCTGGATTTCCAGCAGATGCGGAGTGCGGTGAGTCAGGGCTTACTTCCCTGAGAGATGTGTACAGCTTCCATGTGCTCTTGTGTCCACACATTTATCGCCTTCCCCGTGACTCAAGATTAGCTGGGGAGAGAGAGTAGTCGGGAGGATGGATCACCTTTCAGATTTTATCACCCTAACTGTCTGTAAACATTGCCCCCCGCCCTGTTTTTTAACCAAGCCTACAATAAGGGCTTTCAACTGGAAAAAAAAAAAAAAAAGGAAAACAAGTTTCCTAATGACATTTGTATTACAGAGGGTTAGAAAGAACACTTTTTAAATTTTTAATGTTATTTTATGTATTATTCTCTATGTACTGATCTACATTAGAAATGGGACTAAAGAAATTGGCCTGACTATTTTGGGTTTTCATCCCTTAATAATTTCTGTCTCTAAAACCATCTCTAGTTGAACTACAGGAGAGATTATGAGGACACAAAAGCAAACGTGCATATCCCCAATGACATGATGAACCACGTGCTGGCAAAAAGGTGCCAGTACATCCTCAGCGACCTGGAGTACCGCCACTACTTCCACCAGTGGACGTCACTTCCGGAGGAGCCCAACGTTGTCCGCGCCCGAAACGCCCAGGAGATTTTGAGTGATGTACGATGCCCTTTTCTGCACTTTGCCTTAGCCTGCAGACTACACCTGTTCCTGCTTAACCTCCCATGGTGCCACTTCCCCTGCTCACAGACCCAGAGACTTCCGACACTAAGTGGCATGACTATCTACTCTTCGTGTGAGGGTCCCCTTTGAGCCGTAGGGTGCCCGTGCTGAATATTTAATCAGTTCAGCACTAGACTCAGATTAGGCAGTTCCCCTCTGAGACATCTTTCAGCCAGGAAGTCGCTTTCAGCTGGTTGAAGGTCAAGGAGCAGCAAGAAGCCATCAAAGGGACCAACTGTAAATTCTGAATACCTGCCACCTTTCCATCTTCTTTGTTGCAGAATGTATACAAAGATGACTTGAACTGGCTGAAAGGCATCGGCTGCTATGTTTGGGACACACCCCAGATCCTCCATGCCAAGAAGGCATATGACCTCCAGAGTCAGGTGAGCCGATCTCCCTATAAGGACCAACTGTCCAGATGTCACCATAGTCCATGGTAGCATCCGTGGGCTGCTGGCCAGGCTGTCCCTAAGCTCTGAGAGGTTGCTGTAAAGGTGCATGATCTAAGGTAACTCATAATCTAAGGAAACTGTCCCCAGTCAGACCTCTTGTGGTGACCTTCTCTGGTGTGGCTCTATCCTATAGCTGAAGGTCATGTGCATTTGTGACAGGAAGTTACAGAGGAGAGGGGATTGTGGGATGGTGAACTGTTTATAGGCATCTCTGTCTTGGCCAGGATAACTTGCAGAATGTAGGAAGGAAAGTGTGCTTTGACAACAGGTACCTGTGTTTTGGGGGAAACCATTATCTGGGGCATGTCGCAGCATGTGTCACAGAAGAGCTGTGATTGGACAGGTCTGATGGCTATTGGCTCTGTGGGCTGCTACTGTGAGGGCTGGAAGGCGGCATGGAGAAGGTAACAGAATGAAGAAAGACACCTCACAGCGATCCAGACCTCTGTCTTGGCCAAGGACAGCTGCTGCTTGTTTTGGCTGCTGCACAAAGTCTGTGGACGGCAGAGTGGTGGCAGCCTGCTTCTTAAATTAAAGCAGAAACCCAGCAGTCAAGGCAGAGATGGCTAAGATGCCAGAAGCAGCCAACTTTGCTTGTTTGCCATCTTGGACGACTTTTGTTTTCCTTCACAGCTACAATACACAGCCGCGAGCAAAGACAATCTGCAGAACTATAACCTGGTCACAGACACGCCGGTTTACGTGACTGCTCTTCAGAGTGGCATCAATGCCAGCGAGGTATGATGTCCTTGTCCTCTCTCTAGGGTAAGCCCTTTCTTGTCTTCAGAGGTCTTCCACCAGCAGAGGTGCGGAAGTCATTCCTTTCTGTCTGCAGGTGAAATATAAGGAAAATTATCATCAGATTAAGGACAAGTATACCACGGTGCTAGAGACTGCCGATTAAGACAGAACCAAGAACCTGAAAAGTCTTTACAGCAGTGTGAGTTGTCCTTCCCCCTTCAGAGACAGGTTTTTTAAAAAAAGGGGTAAAACTTTTCCATAAAGGTTTGTCCAGTTTTTCCTGAACCATCAAATTCCCATTTTCCCAATATAGCCTCACTATACAGCTAAACTTCACACTGAAAGAATGCCCCGGGGTTGGAAAATACGTGGGGCTAACCAGAGCACGGTGCCTGTATTCACAAGGTTTTTTTAACCCTTCTAGAACATATACAAGGAGGCCTGGGATAAGGTGAAAGCCACCAGCTATAAGCTGCCAACCAGCACCTTGTCCCTGACTCATGCCAAGAACCAGAAGCACCTGGCCAGTCATGTAAGTCAAGTACAAGCATCACAGCCTCCCCTCACCCTTTGCTCTCTGCCCCCCCACCATACCAAGAAGTCCCCAGGCTGTTCTGATGTTGCCCAGAAGCACCCCAGCAACCCAGGGGTGTCTGACAAACACTTCTAATAGCTTGACATCAAAGTCCCTGCTCACTGCCTCCTCTCGGGGCACTGTAGTCCCTGGAGAGTCATACTTACCAGTCAGGAGGACACGGGTGCAGTCGTTCAGGCTCCCTGTGTGCAGAGAGCATGGCTGGGTAGCCTCTGCTTCAGCCAGCAGTGAAGAGAGAAAGCCAACACAAACCACCGTAAGAATGGAGCGTTTCCAGCCAGGCCTGGTGGCTCACAACTACAAGTCCAGCATGGAGGAGACTACAGCAAGAAGATTGCTGTGGGTTCAAGGCCAGTCTAGCCTACAGTAATGGGTTTCAGTCTCGCCTGGACTAGAGTAAGATCCTGGCTCAGAAAACAAAACCCAAAATAGGGTGTTTTGCTGGAATTAGGTGAGAGCTGGTCCAAAGCTAAGCTGGGGAGTGTGGTAGCTGTAGCTGGTTTTCACACTGTTACAGAGAAGCCGATGTGGCTGAGGAGCATGGCCTTCGTTTGGATTGGCGCATACACTTTACAGAGCCCCGGGGAGGCACCTCTTCTTCTGTTGCAGATGCTGAGCCAGAATATTGTTGGAACGAGGGGTGGGGGAATTAAGGATCCCGACATCGGTTGGAAATAATTTTAAGAGGGGAAAATGGAGTTCCTGTGAAGGCTGACTTTTCACAGCTGAGGGTAGATCAGCTCAGAGACGCTGGAATATTGTGTCCTGGGATTTGTTTGGGATTTGGGCGGAAATTCTGTTTGGCTTCTAATTGATGAAGCAGCCCCCCACTGCCTCTGAGAGTGGCTCTCTGAGCCCTGAGAGCCTGTGTGTTGCTCCCGTGCCCCGGAGGCTGCCTCTTACCTCTGCCTTGTCCTAGCTCATTGTGTTGTAGAGTATTGATTGACAGGTGGTACTTAACTAAACACCAAAGGCTGACTGAGCTACCTTTGCAAACACTTGCAGACACTGAAATTCAAGAATTATCGCTCTCAACCATAGGCCATTGCATGTCTCAACACCAAAGGTTCCAAGCCCAGTCTGAACCTTTCACGTGGGAGAGCAAGAAAGAGAAGAGACGATTTAACAGTCTGCTTACCACAAGCTGGGGGACGTGGCTCAGTGGCAGGCTGTTTGCCTTGAATGTTCAAGGCCCTGGGTTTGATCCTCATCGTTACAAACATTTTAACCACCTAAGGGCCAAAAAAATAAAATAAAATAAAATGCCGGGCGATGGTGGTGCACGCCTTTAATCCCAGCACTCGGGAGGCAGAGGCAGGTGGATCTCTGTGAGTTTGAGACCAGCCTGGTCTACAGAGCTAGTTCCAGGACAGGCTCCAAAGCCACAGAGAAACCCTGTCTCGAAAAACCAAAATAATAAAATAAAATAAAATAACCATCTAAGGTGTAATCCTAGAAGTAAGGTGTAGTAGCAGTGGTATTTGATGTGGGCACTTGAAAACAATACAGTTTTATAGCCTGGTCCAGGATAAAAGTACTTACAGACACGGCCTGGTTGCAGCCTCATGACGGCCCTAAGGCGGCTCTAGTGTCTTTGTATGGGTCCAAACGTGAGCACTGAGAAGTGCTCCAGCCCCAACCCATAGCATGTTATCTGAATCTTGGAGGCAGGACCTTTGTCTTGCGTTTTTTTTTTTTTTAAACAGTAAGTCTTTACTCTTCATGTTTTAGCTTTTTCTACTTGTCCTCTATAGATCAAATACCGAGAAGAATATGAAAAGTTCAAAGCTCTTTACACATTGCCGAAAAGCGTTGAAGAAGACCCAAACACTGCGCGGTGTCTCCGGGTGGGCAAGCTCAACATCGATGTGAGTACCGGCAAAGGCTTGAGTGGGCACAGAAGCTGAATCAAGTAGTCATGTGGTATCCGTTGTTCTATGAGGTTGTTCTATAAAACCAGGCACGTGGCACTGGTTGTACATACAGAAAGAAGCTAAGTATTACCCCAGCCCACGCTTTAGCAAACGGTTCTGGAGGCTGAGAGATAAAATGGGTAAGAGATAAGAATACTTGCTTGCTGCTCTTAGAGGGGACCCAAGTTCTCAGAACCCATGTCAGGCAACTCACAACTGCCTAGAACTCCAGCTCCAGGGGGCCCACATGCATGTGATATACACTCACTCATACACGCACACAGATACATACATAAAAATAAAAATGGACCTTTAAAAAAAATAGCCTGGTTTTAATCTATACAAGATGCAAGAAGAGACCAGCTTCCACCCCATCTCCCACTGCTTGCTATAAGCTGGAGAGGACAGACGTTGCGTGACGATACAGCAGCTTTCTGGTAACTGGGATGCAACTTGACTTTCCCAGCGCCTGTACAGATCAGTGTATGAACAGAACAAGATGAAAATCCACACCGTGCCCGACATGGTGGAGATGGTGACGGCCAAGGATTCTCAGAAGAAAGTGAGCGAGGTGGACTACCGCCTGCGCCTCCATGAATGGATCTGCCACCCAGACTTACAAGTCAACAGTCACGTCAGGAAAGTGACTGACCAGATCAGCGACGTAAGCTTAGGAGGACCCCCATGGTTGCCCCACCATCCTCCCCCTTCTACCTGATGAAAAGCAGGCTCATCTAGATCTCTACATTACCTTTGTCCCTCTTGCTTTCCTGTCCATGGGTCTGAGGGATTTGGGAGCGATCCCTGGAAGCCAGGCTGAGCAGAGATCCCTGTGGCTTCTCAGTCTCTGCCCAGGAACTTTTGCTTTGTATTCCTTCCCAGTGTCACCTGGGTCTAGGCTACGCCTACTCTTTCCTGTTCAAGAAATGGCCAGATATGTGTTTCTTATCCTCTGCATCTACTGAAACCCCCCTCCTAGATTGTGTACAAGGATGACCTCACCTGGCTGAAGGGCATTGGTTGCTACGTCTGGGACACTCCTGAAATTCTCCATGCAAAACACGCTTATGATCTACGCAACGATGTGAGTGTCTTTGGTTTCTTGGTCTAGGCACAACTCTGCACAATCTAGAGGCAAGGAAACAATGCTTAAAACAAGAACAATGCCACAGCGCCGTTGTAAATTAAGTCTTGTTGAGGGTGGCTAAACTGGAGAAAGATGCTAAAAACATAATATTCGCTTCTCAGCATTTAGCATTTCTATCAAACAACCTGACCCAGCTGTGTCATGCTCCTCTGTGGAGAAGAGACTCCAAGCTCTCCTTTTAAACTATTTTGAATATATTAATGAGCACATAAATTTTACTATATGAAAAACTCATCTGTTAGAATAAGAGATGGGATTTAGTCATAAGGTGCAGGGAAATTTGCCACACAATATAATATGACAGGATTTCAGCAAGAGCTTTCCGAGGGGAGCAGCTGTCACACCTTCTAGATAACTCTAAAGTGATTGTAAACACTGGAAGTGTGGGCATTCAAATTCAAATCCATCCTGTGCACATTGTCGATGGGTGTGACTCTCAAGCCCTCTGTAAAATAGAATGCTGTCTGCTGCAATAGATGCTCCAGCATAGGCTTGCTTGCTTCATCTTGGCAGATCAAGTATAAAGCTCACGTGCAGAAGACACGGAATGACTACAAGCTGGTGACCGACACGCCGGTCTACGTTCAGGCTGTCAAGAGTGGGAAGCAGCTGAGCGATGTAAGCTTTCCCTGGGGAAGCGACTTTGGGTAGCAGTAAAGATGGGGCACGGCTCAACCAAAGACTAGGGAACACCAGCCCCTTTCCTACCTGGGTACTAGACTTAGTGCCTTAGAAAGGGCCTGCACAGCCCCCTTTCCCTAACATCCAGAGTGTCAGCAGTTTGCAGGGGTGATGTCGTGAGTGAGTTTGTGAAATGCTTTGTTGTTAGAGCATCCAGTGCTGCTTTTAATGCTATACTCTGTGTTGTTAGAGGCGTTTATGTCTGTCTCCCTGTCTAGACCTTCTGTTAATCAGAGTCAGCTGGTAGAATGGGAAGGAAATGGGCTGCGATGTTAAGGATGTGGGTTGGAATCCTGCCTCTGCCACATAATCCAAGCCTGGGAAAAGCTGCTAACTCCTCCAAGGCTCGTGTGTAAAATGGATTGTGCACATATTCCCTGTCATGCCTGAGGGCAAGCAGAGAAGCCACCAAGCTGTCCTTGGTCAATCAAATGCACAGGTAGCAAGTAAATAATAGATCGCACCCGGAAAGAGAAGGTTACTACCTATTACCTAGAACTCCTGGAGGGGAGATGGCCACACCTTGACACCTGAGATGGGCTGTCCACCTTCAGGGATATCTGCAGCCTTGGTTCTGACTCCATTGCATAAAAAGACAGAGTTACACAGCAGAGGTCTCTGGGTTCATTCGTTCTTTTTCCCTCGTTGTGACAGATCCCTCACAGAAACAATGGGAAGAACTATTTGTCTTTCAGGTTTAGAGAGTTCATTCCATGGTTTCTCTGTCCTGTGTCCTTGGATAGATACCATGGTGGTAGAAGCATGTGGGGAAGGCCAGTTCTCTGCCTGTGGCAGACAGGAAGGAGAGAAAGGGATGGGGAAGCAGGCCTGTGACAAAAATCTGCCCCCACTGACCAACTTCCTCCAGCTAGCTTGCAAAATAGTGCCACCAGATCAGGTCCAAGCAGTGGCGGCAGGGACAGGGGTTCATATTTATAACACTAAGCAAAGGCCGGCTTCACCCTTTTCATAGTCTTTAAAGCCATCATGGATTCCATTTGCTCTGTGTCTTTCTAACAATCCTCCCACAGTCTGATGACTGACCTTGCCTCTCCTCACCCAGGCTGTCTACCACTATGACTATGTGCACAGCATCAGAGGCAAAGTGGCCCCAACCACCAAAACCGTGGATCTGGACCGGGCCCTCCATGCATACAAGCTTCAGAGTGAGGTGGGTGTTGGGAAAGGGGCTATGGGCAGAAAACCCAGCTGCAGGGCCCGTAGAGGCATGCTGGCTTGTGTATGCATACTCACTGACTGATCTTGTAACAGCGTGCCTTGCCTTCCTTCTTGACTAATGGGATCCTCCTATCAAGCAATCAAACAGATAAAAAAAATGGGCATGTTGTTGACCAATATTTGCAAGTCAGAAAGAGGGAGCGCTGGCATGCTGTCACTGTTCTTTAAAACCTTGAAATCACAATGACAGAGTTAGGGCATTTGACTCTAAAGGGCTACTAGCCATAAGGGATAAAGGCGGAAGTCACCGAATGTGAAGGCGGACCCTACCCTTCGCTTCCTTTCCTGTGTCTCGCCAAAAATCTAACAAACTGCCTGTGTGATGTGTTTAATGTGTTTAAAATGTCTTCGATGCCAGAAGACATTTTACTTGCTCTTTTTTCATTCGGGCAGAATTTGTACAAGAAAGGCCTGCGCTACCTGCCCACTGGATACAGGCTCCCAGGTGATACCCCTCACTTCAATCACGCCAAGGACATGCGCTACATGAGTAGCTACGTGAGTAATCTTCATTCTGTCGGAGCCTGAAATTTGAGTGTGCAGAGACTAATGTTAGCATCGGTTCTCATGCTCAAACGATACCCAGAAGGCTCAGCCTGATGGTGGGCAGGGCAGGGCAGGGGCAGACAGCATGTTCCTGGGGATGACATGCATTGGCTCTTCGACATACCATTTGGTAGCACCTGCATACGACAGTGGGTTACAACAGGACAGCCTGGGCACCTCGGCTCAGTGTTGAGCGCTGTCAAGATGCCTCTGTCTCAGCTGGCCTGGGACTGGAAACATCCCAAGCTCTCCCCCACATCATTTACTGGAAATACAAAGTTTACTTAGGAGGCGTCACTGTGTGTCCTTTTGAAGAGACTACTTACTGAGCCACTGAGCCTGACACTTAGCCTTGGTTTTTAACGTCTCGGTTTTAATGTGCTCGGTTCATGGGCTATCTAGACTCCACTGCCTGTGATTTGCCGCTGGAAGTCCACCAATACTTCCCTTTCCTGGATTTCCTGAGTGCCAGCATAGACCTGAGACATGTACTCCAGGGGCGACTCATAGAAGAGTATGGTAGTCTACAGGCCGTACCATAGCCAGCCATTGGCCAGAGACCAAGATTTAGCTCTCTCTCTTGTTTGGTGCTCATCTTCAGAGTCCTGGGAATCAGCTGTGCCAATGACACAGTCCCGCCGTGGCCCAATATTACAGCTCCAAAGCAGACATGAACAAATTTAAGAGTCAAACCTGTTATTTTTAGAAATCAGTCTATAAGTCATTCATCAGTATTAAAAATGTCATCTTGGTCCTTTTTCCTTGGTCCTATTTCCTAATTTTCAAACCACTTTGAGACTAAAGTGATAGCTATTTCTTGGGTTTCCTTCACTTCCTACAAATAGATTTCACCCAGGTGGGAATTTTTTAACCTTTCTATAGACATGTGATTATCATTCAACTAATAACTTTCAAGGCTTAAGACAATACTAAAATTGTGTCATCGAGGGCAGTGAGATAGTGCAAAGGATAAAGATGTATGCCGTGCAAGTCTGACACCAGATTTGACCCCAAAGCCTGTGGTGGAAGGAGGGAACAGATTCCAGAAAGTTGACCTCTGACATCCACACGCATGTCACACACATGTACCTGTACCCACACACACATGGCATGCACATACACACACAGTATTAATAACAAAATAACATTTAATGGATTCATATTAATTTAAATTATGGCTAGTTCTTACTCTTGGCGTTTAGAGAATAAATTTCAAATCAAGACACGATCTCTTTAGTAATTGAGAATATAGTACAGTTCTCTGTGTAGCCATCACTGATCTCAGTCTGATTTTGCTTTCTCAGTTCAAATACAAAGAAGCCTATGAACACCTCAAGGCATATGGGTACACACTTGGTCCCAAGGATGTCCCGTTCGTCCATGTCCGGAGAGTCAACAACGTTACTAGTGAGGTACTGTGAACACTTATTCTTGGAGAAAAATACTGAATTGAAAATCATGACTTTTGGGGGACCTTGGGAGAGGGTTGAAGGGGAGGGGAGAGGCAGGGGGAAAGAGCAGAGAAAAATGTAGAGGTCAATAAAAATCAATAAAAATAAAAAAAATCATGACTTCATTTGAAATGCATTTAAGAATTTCTTGGGCTTCATCTGTAAGTTTACAGACTGGAAGACAGTATGAGGACCCTATTTGATTCTTGTGTCCCTCATAGTTCATCATAAAGACTTGGTTCCATAGACTATGATGATATTTGTGCAACATCTTTCATCAGATTATACTTTTGTCTGACTTACAGCCCTGATTGTCATCAGCTGTATTTGTACCTCTCTCCTACTAAGCAACCATGTCATGGGATGTAGACAGACCACTTTGCCCTCAGAATTCTTCACCAAAATGAAATAAGCATTTTCTCTTATGCTAACCTTAAATCATTTTATAGTCTGAGTTTCCTCTCTTGGTTCTTTATGTAAAGTATTCAGTTGTTTCTTAGTCAGTAAATGCCCCTGTGTTCCTGCCCCAAACACCTAGAATGGTTTCTCCTTCCCTGCAGAGACTGTATCGAGAATTGTATCATAAACTAAAAGACAAGATACACACAACTCCAGACACACCTGAGATCCGCCAAGTCAAGAAGACACAGGAAGCTGTCAGTGAGGTGAGAATGATGGGACAGAGAGGCCATCACCGAGGGAGAATGCTGGGGAGTGGACAGGCCATCACCCAGGGAGAAACGCTGGCCATTTGCTCTCTAGTGTGAGTTTGTTCTTTTTTTTTTTTTTTTCTTTAGTTGATCTACAAATCAGACTTCTTCAAGACGCGGGGCCACATGATCTCGCTGCCATACACACCTCAAGTGTTGCACTGTCGCTACGTGGGAGACATCACCAGTGACGTAAGAATCCTGTAGGCTCTTTCTAAAGGAGTCCCACCAAGAAGTAGCCTTGCTTTTCGCATTTAGGACACCCCAGTGGTCTTTGAAAAGCCTTTTCCAGTGTTCACTTCTTACCTAAATGTACAATTTGGAGGTGAAATTGTTAGGGAAGTCCTACAGTTCCCCAGCCACGGGGAAAGTCAGGAGAAAACCAGTAGAGGAAGAGGGCTGCCACCATGCTTGCTCATTCAGTGACCGCCACACTACATCAGCGTAAGGTCTTCACCAGTTCCTACCGTTCAGTGCCCTACATCCCAGGACAGATTAGCTTTCTTTCCCCCTCCTGGTCCTGGTGGCACTCCCTCGTAACATCTTATTGTAACATCTTCTTATTGCCATTAGGAAAAGAACTCCTTGGGGATCTCCTTTTCCTGGTGGGTCAATCCCTTAAATCTGTGAATTTTTTTCCCTTAATGTGATAACACAATATTAGTGTCCTCCCCTCAACTCAGGGTTAGAGATTCAACTATGGTCCGAATGCAAGTAATATCAGAAGGTATACATGTTGAGTCAAGATGAAAACTACAGTGTTCCCTTGTATTGGTGGAGGAGGTTACCTCTCATAGACGGCCCCCTCCCCCCAAGGGATACATCAAACCATGGACAGTACAAACCATGACTATACGGTCATTAAATACATACTCTGGATAAAGTTGAACTTGTGAATTAGGCATAAGATATTAAGCTTAACAACATATATTACAGTAGAATAATCATAACAATATACTAAGATAAAAGATATTTAAAATATAAAAACTGCTTTTTTTGTTTGGTTGGTTTTTTGAGACAGGGCTTCTCTGCAGCTTTAGAGCCTGTCCTGGAACTTGCTCTTGTAAACCAGGCTGGCCTCAAACTCACAGAGAACTGCCTGCCTCTGCCTCCCGAGTGCTGGGATTAAAGTTATGTACCACTACCACCCAACTTAAAAAAAATGCTTTTTCTGGAATATTTCATTTTCATATTTTTTCATTACAGTTAACACTGGAAAACTGAAACTACAGAAAGCAAACCTGTGATAGAGAGAGCTACTGTGCACTGACAAAGAAGTGTGGCTGTCCTGTGGTTTTTGTCGTGTATTTATATTGGCTCACAACCAGCTGTCTATGTATGCCCCACAGATTAAATACAAAGAGGACTTGCAGATCTTGAAGGGACTCAGCTGTTTCCTGTATGACACTCCTGACATGGTCCGCTCCCGGCACCTAAGGAAACTCTGGGTGAGGTCACACCTTCACGGTATACAGCTTCCCCACACATGTATCACACATCCCATTGCTAGCTTCCAGTGTGGGGAGGGGAAGGCAGAACAAATCTCGGCCTACATCTACTTTTAAGGAGAAATTTGCCATCAACCCACTTAAGTAGGTAGTGACTTCCTTATGATGATCCACGCCTGTTAGAAAGGTAATGAACGTAGTTAAATGATAATTGCTTTTGTTGTTGCCTAGGAAGATGAAGGTGGGGGCCGGGAGGTATAGAGTGGGCATCATTGAGACTCTCTTAGTATCTCAGGACACAGTCAAAGCCTGCTCAATTTGCATATGCCAGTCATTTGTGCCATGCAGTCCCTTCCATAACTAACCAGTTTGTCTTTTTGACTTTCCTCTCCTAAGTCAAATTACCTGTACACTGACAATGCCAGGAAGATGCGAGACAAGTACCAAGTGGTGCTTGACACCCCAGAGTACAGAAAAGTGCAGGAACTGAAGACCCATCTGAGTGAGGTAAGCATCCATCGTCTGTCTCGAGAGGCAAACGGACCAGCTGGACTGAGCTACTCAAAAGATTCTTGGTTCCTGTCTATGATCATCCCTTGACTGCAGAGTGACCCAATGTCTCTGTTAATCAGTTGGCCATACGCTGGCTCAATTTGTTTAATTTTCTTTTTGTAAAATGGACATTAATATTTGCCTTTCTACAACTAAGGCAAATGAGAGACTTGACATGATTTTATAATTTAGAAAGTCTTTGTACTGAACAATTGTCTGCAAACTAAAGCTAATTCAAGTTTTTCTGTCTTGAGTATATGAAGAATATAGCAACAATAATGTCAGCTATTGAAAGGCTTGAGAATATCTGCTGTATTGATGCCTTGGGGGCGAAGAGAAGCTTCTAGAGGAAAATAATCATAAACCATCAGTTTAGAGCACTGGTTCTCAAATTGGGGGTCAAGTGACCCTTAAACAGGGGACCATCAGAAAACACGAATATTTATGTTACAGTTCAGAACAGCAGCAAAATTACAGTTATGAAGTAGCAATGAAAATAATTTTGTGATAGGAAGTCACCACAACATGAGGAACTGTATTAAAGGGTCAAAGAAGTAGGGAGGTTGGGAACCATGGGTTTAGAAGGAAGAAACTTACTTAGCCTGCTGCAGTAGTAGGTTGCCTGCCTTCCCTACGAGTAAGCGGTCGTCAGGTCATCTAGGGACAATGATGGCTTGTTATGCGTCTAGCTGGTGTACAGAGCTACGGGCAAGAAGCTGAAGTCCGTCTTCACTTCAGTCCCCGATACTCCTGACCTCCTAAGAGCCAAGCGGGGACAGAAGCTTCAGAGTCAGGTAATGCCTGCCATTTATGAATGTCGATTAGCCTGCCATGGGACAGTAATGTCTGCTTGACCTTCTTAGGCTGGTAGCTGACACAGTTGATTGTCCTTGCTGCAGTCTGTGCTTCAAGACTATCAGAATTCTGATGATTTTACAGGCAAAGGATGCTATGTCTTCTTTGCAAAGGGTTGTCTAATTTTGTCCTCAGATGAGTGGTTACGGACTCTCAGGAGTAAAAAAAACTGTTTGATCACTTCAAGGATGTGTCTGTTATCTACAGACAAACAAAACTCTGTGTCACACATGCAGGCAACGCTAGGGAGAAAGGATGCTGAAGGAGCTTTCAGAATCCGCCCAGTGTTCTCTTAGCATTCTTTTTATCACGTGGCTGTACACTGGACCACACCCAGCAGAAGAGCTGTTAGACAACTGGTTTGTGGGTGGGTGTTTTCAAGTGACACTTACAGAGAAACAAACTCACAAATACATACAACAACAACCTCGAGCAACCAAACACACACACACAGAGAAATAAAGACTCAAAATTAAGAGGACAGGTAAAATTGTGTCTCTGACTCCTCCCCGCTCTTGTTACCCAGTATCTCTATGTTGAGTTGGCCACTAAAGAGAGACCCCATCACCATGCTGGAAACCAGACCACAGCCTTGCAACATGCCAAAGACGTGAAGGACTTGGTCAGCGAGGTAAGATGGGGGTTCTACACCAGCGTACCCGTTTGCTAAGAAATACTTCATCTACTATTTCTAATGAGAATTTTATCACTACAAAGTGGGCTCAGCATCCCCCAACCGCAGAAGTTGTACTCTACGAATGAGATATGCTGTGCCTTTCCCTTAGATCTGGGATTTGGGTGTAAACTGGGGAGGGTTAAATCACAAACTGGGGCTGGTGACATGGCTCTGCCAGGAGAGTGCTTGCAGTATAAGCCTAATAACCTAAGTTCAGTGTCCAGAACCTACAGAAAATGGAGAACCAACTCCACAGAGTTACCCTCAGATTTCCATGCATATACCCCAAACACACAGACATGCAAATACACTACGGTAATTGTAGTAAGAGTTGAACTTGTCTTTCTCTGCTATTTTTGTATCTTAGAACAAGTACAAGATTCAATATGAAAAGATGAAGGACAAGTATACACCAGTTGCAGACACGCCAATCCTCATCAGAGCCAAGAGGGCCTACTGGAACGCCAGTGATGTGAGCATCCCTTCCTTATTTCTCCTGCTGCGACAGGGAGAGCTGCGGTTATTCAGCAACACAAACTGTTCCGTCACAGCAATAGCTGAAAGTCATTGCCCACAACGTGAATCAGGAAAGAACACATACTCGCACAGTACCAATCTAGCAAAGTAGCTAAGAACTGTGTTGAGATGCTACAAGCTATTAGTTATCTCGTAGGCAACAATATGACCCCTCCTTGTAATTTTGGGGTAGCATCCTAGAGATATTTGGTAGCTAATTTACTTAGACATAAAATCATGGTCTTGGATGCAGAAAAACATAGATTCAACTTAGTTGCCTGCTCTTCAAGTCCATATAATTTATCTAACTTTTCTTGTGTGTGAAATAGAATGAGAAAATGAGAAACGTGATGATGCTGTAAGAATGCACAAGAAAATGAACAATGTGTCTATTTCACTACTTTATCAATGCTTGGGAAATGCTCTCGTCTGTCTCTTAATTGACTAATACAGTGTGTGGGTGCCAGGATACGTGACCACAGCAGCTAGAATCAGAGGGTGGACTTTCATCGTCCCTATTACCTGTTCAGCGACATGTCTGCCTTTCACTAGTAACAAGTTTATCTGTTTTTGAAGACAGGAATTATTAGTCCACTTCATGGAGGTGCCCAGCTCCTCCTGGCTTTGTGACTCAGATTTGCTATATCTATTGCCACAACCCTTCATGGGATAGACAACTTGAGACTTACACCCAGCCAAAAGCCTCAGCCAGGACCATGTGTCCCCAATATAGCTCTAGATTTCATGGCCACACAAAGGAATTAGTAGAAAAGAGACATTACCCGTTAGCACTTAAAATTCAAGATGAGAAAGCCATAGATTCTCCTCCGTCCTTCCGGACAGTTCCAGTCTTGTGACATCCCCTGTCTTTATCATTCAAGGTTACTGCTGAATTTTCCCCATTTTGTTTTCTTGAGACAGACTTTTACATTGTAGCTGAAGGCGGCCTATCATTCACTGTGTAGCCTGAGTTGGCATCAAACTCACAACGGTCCCTCCCAGGTACTGGGAGCGCACTGCTGGAGCCACTCTGACCAATTTTGCCCATTGTTAATTCGTGTCAAATTTAATTTTCTTTGCACGGGGGTGGCCACACAATGAAATCAATCCCAGAGTCTAACTATGCCCCAGAGCTTCCCCTCTGCCAGTTTTCAAATCCTTTATCTTTAAAAGAGCACCAATTCCAAGAACCTTGATCTTTAAAGTCACCAAGTGCAACAAGGATGGTAGCTGATATTAATTTTTAATATATCAGCCATTACATGTGGGCTGACCCCACAAGTAATTTTCTAACATGACCCATGTAAAGAACAAAGCATTTTAGAAAAGATGTCTTTCACTGCGTGCTTGGTTGGGAAGCAGGCTGCCTAGAGAAGCAGTCTTGCATCGATGAGATGAGTAGAGTGGCCATCCACAAAGACAGCAGTCATAACCAAATGAAATGTCAAGATTGCTTAGTGCAAAAGTCATTTTAACAGCAGGAGGTGGGAGTTGAATCTCTGCCCCAGCCATGAACATTAGTATGTCTTAGCAAGGCTGTGGTCTTTATTGTTTCGTCTTTCCCCAAAATAGAATTAACACTTACATCTATTTCTTTCTTATGTTAAGTAGTCTTAGATTTAAAGAAAAACAGCGAAATCATACGGAGAATTCTAACATGCCCCCCATAGTTTCCCATCACTAATGACTCTCAGGCCTTTGTCACCATCAGTGAACCATGATCCATATATTATTACTTTATCAAGCCACGTCATTTTTTTGGATTATGAAGTTTTCCTTCATGTCTTTTTCTCTTCTAACATCTGGGATAACCTTTCAAACTTTTCCCTAAATCTAAGAGAGAAACTCGAAAGAGTTGGAGCTTAGCAGAACTGAATTATTTAACATGGTAGTTATTCTTCATGATTGGTGTTGTATTCTCTCTTAACAGCTTCGCTACAAAGAGACATTTCAAAAGACAAAAGGGAAGTATCACACCGTGAAGGATGCCCTGGACATTGTGTACCATCGCAAAGTCACAGATGACATCAGCAAAGTATGTCCCTGGATAGGACTACTTCAGAGGGGCTCTGAAACCTACCACTGTTAGGGGTTTTTTGTTTGTTTTTGTTTTGTTTTTTTTCTTAGCGCAATCTCATTTTTCGAAAACTCCAGAGAGATTAACTCTGAGTCTTTACATTTTTACAACAGGTGAAATACAAGGAGAACTACATGAGCCAGCTGGGAATCTGGAGTTCTATCCCCGACCGCCCCGAACACTTCCACCACCGGGCAGTCACGGATGCCGTCAGCGATGTGAGTGTCACCTCCAGTTTTCCCGTAGGAATCCATATTTCCGTGGGAGCTGTGAAGTCGGGCTGCTGAAACACTTGTCCGGGTTACAATTACGTTTTTTTCATGGGTGGGGAGGAGGTGTCACATGCCACAGGACATGAGCTATGATGAATCACGTGACAGTCAGAACAACTCGTGGGAGTTGAGTCTGTCACTCTGCCATTAGAGCTTCAAAGATCAAACTTTGTGGCATGCACCTTTACCTGCTGAGTCATCTGGCCCCGCTTACATAGAGTTTAGATCTTGGATGTGGTTATTCAAGTCATAAAGTTCAATTACTAAGTGAGTAAACTAAGTGAGCTTGGGAGAGGAAAAATTATATTCGAATTTGTCACCTTCTGTTTTCCTCTATGAGTCAAAGCAATATAGTTCATGCCTATCTTGGATTCTTTGAAGAGATTGTGACAGAAAGCAACATTCATTTAGAAAGAGGTTTCACCTGTCTGCATGAAAGTATAGCTGCCAAGCCAATGATATTCTCTGTACAAAAGTATACTGGTTAAAATTGATTTTGATTAATAGTAAAAATGAAAATTTCTAAATATTATCAAACAAATCATAAGAAAAAATTAGTAATTCTAGAAGTGTACTTAAATAATACAGGATATTTATTGTACATCTTCATTATTTGGCATACTTTGGGAATCAGAGGTTCTAACGTGTTCTCTTGGATGGCTCCTAAGAGATGAATTGTTACAACTCCTTGATATTCCTCTTCTCTCAGGTAAAATATAAAGAAGATCTGACCTGGCTCAGAGGCATTGGCTGTTATGCCCATGACACCCCTGATCTGACTCTAGCTGAACAGAACAAGACTCTCTACAGCAAGGTATACCTTTATTCTCAAGGAGAATGCTTTATCCATTAAATACAAACCCAGTTCACAAAGGGAAAACAACCTTTGTAGCTTCATCCCTGTCCTGCCTTCTAAATCCTGAAACTAACGCCATGCTGAACTCTTTACTGTCTTGAGAGATTTTCAATTTTGTTTTGTTTTTCGACAGGGTCTTCCTAAGTAGCCAGGCTCACCTAGAACTCATTATGGGTAGATTAGGTTGGCCTTGAATTCACAGAATTTTGGTTGCCTCTGCCTCCCCAAGTGCTAGGATTAAAGGCGTGTGCAGAGATGTCCTTTAGTGCTGACCTCATTAACCGTAGCTTCTTTGAATCTGAAAAACTATCTAGGACAGCCACTCATGACTACTCCTGAGTTCCCTCTCATTCATCCATGTGGGTGATCCACCCAGCTAAAGCAGAATACAGCAGCAAATATCAAGTGTGGTTATTTTAATCTACAAAATACAAGCTGTAAATCAAGTTTTTTAGGGCCTAATTTTCCAATTTACAATATAAAGCAGTTGAATTTGCTTTTAATATATAAAGTGAGAATCAGCCAACTTCTGATACATGCCAGACTGTATATATTTTACAGTAGACTTGGTAGGTCACATTTATAATAGCACCTATTTTCTCTGTTATAATTATCTAAAATTGTAAAAACCATTCGTAATTGTAGGATTGTTTAAAAACAGGTTGCAGGGTAGCTAGGTCATCACTCACCCCTACTCTGTAATAGTTAATTATCACATTAGTTGCTAGAAAACTATAGTCTAACTAATGGACTAAAAACTGCATTCACACGGCGCATCAAAATACATTAAAGTTACATCATAATATACCCAAACAGAGAAGAAATGCTTTAGATCTTTGCTCAGCATTGAATTTGTATTTAGTAACCAACTAACACAGTGGTTCTCAACCTGCAAGAGATGGCCCCTTTGGGGGTCAAACGACCCTTTTAACCGGGGTCACGCCGGGTGGTGGTAGTGCATGCCTTTAATCCCAGCACTCGGAAGGCAGAGGCAGGCAGATCTCTGTGAGTTCGAGGCCAGCCTAGTCTACAAGAGCTAGTGCCAGGACAGACTCCAAAGCTCCTGTCTCGAAAAACTTACAAAAAAAAAAAACCGGGGTCATCTAAAACCATCAGAAAATACTAGATATTTATATTGTGATTCATAACAGTAGCAAAATAATAGTTATGAAGCAGCAACAAAAATAACTTTTTATGGTTGAGGGGTCACCACAACAGGAGAACTGTATGAAAAGGTCGCAGCATTGGAAGAGTTGAGAACCGCTGCTCTAATGGATGGTTTATACTGTGTATTTTGGACTGTTTTCTACTTTTCACCGCCTTAGGATGTAAGAAAAAAAAAACTCAATAAAGATTTGTTAGCTCTATAAAAGCATTATTATAACTGTAAGAAAAATATCATGACTCCTCCTTAAGACTGGATATGCGATCTAATAATTATGTTCTTTCCCCCCAGTATAAGTATAAAGAAGTATTTGAAAGGACAAAGTCAAATTTCAAGTACGTTGCTGATTGCCCAATTAACAGGCATTTCAAATACGCAACTCAGTTGATGAATGAGGTAAGTACTACTAAGTGGATTAATAAGCCTATTCGGTTCTCTTGAGAAATCTGTAGGGCTACTTCATTAAAATCTAATACGTAGCACGACAGGAAATCTGTCCTAAATGTTCGTTCCATAGAAGGACTTGGAAAGACTACCGTCACTGTCTGGTCGGCTCTGCCAAAGCCTTGACTAGGCCTACCCCTCCCTTCACCTCTTCAGCACAGTCCCGTGGTGTCAGAGAAAGGAGGAAGGATTTTGTGGACTGTCGCAGTGGGGGTAGTTATGTGAACCATGTATTCAGACATATCTGCCACTCCCACAGAATTGAATGCACAGTCGTCCAATCTACACCCCTCCTTTACAATCAACTCAGTCTTCCCTATAGCCATTTTTGCAGCGATGTAATTTAAATATAATTCGAGCAAGCTAAAATAAGAAAACCGTGAGTTCTATTTGGGGAATTTTATAATGTTTAGATGTTTCCATAGCTAAAATTATAATTTTATGCTTTCAGATAATTCGTGGATTTGCATAAGTTCAGATGTGTTAGAAAGTTAGTAAAAGGGGGCTGGAGAGATGTCTCAGAGGTTAAGAGCACTGACTGCTCTTCTAGAGGTCCTGAGTTCAATTCCCAGCCACCACATGATGGCTTACAACCATCTGTAATGAGATCTGGCACCCTCTTCTGGTGTGTAGGAAGCAGAATGTTGTACACATAATAAATAAATAAATAAATTTTTAAAAAAAGTTAGTAAAAGACCTCGTAATGAGATTGTAGCCAGTGGTGCATTTACATGAATGACCTTTGTCGATTTCAAATATTTTTGTTTCTTTTTTTTTTCTTTTTTCATTTCAACACATTTCCAGGCTGGAAAGCTCTGAACAGGTACCATAAGTAACTTCCTAGGGAAGTCTTGATAGGTTTTGTTTTTCCTGTTCCGTAAAGAATTCCCAGGTGTCCTCAAATCACCGAGTGAATTAGCACTGCACAATGATGGCAGCTGTGCTTGGGTATCCTACTTAGTTACACCTCCAGCTGTGCTTGGGTATTCCTACCTAGTTACACCTCCAGCTGTGCTTGGGTATTCCTACCTAGTTACACCTCCGGGTTAGTCGAGTGAGTGATATTTTCCTATAGCACCAATTACACTTTTGGATTCTTTCTGTCTTATTTGTTAAGCTCATAGATTACCAGCATCTCGTTTTAAATACAATGGAAGATGCCAGACATTAATAAGGTGTCATATGAAAAGGTGGAAAACCTCTGGGCATGAGGTACCCCAGTTTGTTTCAGAGGTTGCTCTCTCCCAGGCTCCAGCCTTTCTCCAGGAAGTCTGTCTTTTCGGCTCCCTATATGAACAGTAAACATTGTCCTGGGAGACGGAGGGACTCGCTAAAAATGACAGGTTTCTCTCTCACTGGAGTGTTTATACTGAGATGTTACTGTGTACCCTTGATGCTTTATTCTTGCTATAATTTAATATGATGTTCGACCAGAAAAAATACAGAGCTGACTATGAACAGCGGAAAGATAAATACCACCTGGTAGTCGATGAGCCTAGACATCTGCTGGCTAAGACCGTAGGCGACCAGATCAGCCAGGTACTGTGACGAGGCTGGCCACGCGGCCCGAGCAGGACCGCGCTCCAAATTCTCACAAGATGTCGTCCTGTCTGCTGCAAGGATGTCATAGGTTCTGCCTATGATATTGGACTGTTCTGTTTCAAAACATCTGTCTAGCCACCCAAAGAGCCTCGGCGCTGTTTGAGTGTGCCGGTCAATGCTCTGTGTCCTCATTGGCGCTGTGGTGAAGATGAGAGGAGAAGCTGGGGCCCCTCCCCTGCAGAGCCTGTAAACTGCAGATTGAGTTGTAAAAACAAAAAGAAATCCCTGCTATCTTTTACTGTTCTGATGATGTCATCCCCGTAAGGCAGTCTGGGTGGTAACATACAGCTGCCTTTGTCCTCCCCATTGGCAAGGATGGTAGATGGGCAAGAGTAAAGATTTCAGCCGCTCCCCTTGCCTCGCCCATGGGGGGGGGGGGGTCTTCACCACACAGCTCTGTGAGCGCACAAAGCATGCTAAGCCTACATCTCTTCACTCAGAGGTGACTGGGATATAGAGCCATGTTCCTTCTGTCTTGATAAGTCTCTTTTGTGCTTCACTGCTCTTTGCATGGACAGAGAAAATATAAATCTAGTGCCAAGATGCTTCTGAAACAAGGATGTAATGAAATCCTGCGCCCAGATATGTTGACCGCTCTCTACAATACATACATGTGGAGCCAGGTAACGTCCGACAGGGTGGGGGGAGGCGAGTGCAGACCTTCCGCGCATTCCTCTTTACGATGCCATTGGCTTCCTCTCCCGACCCCTGCCCATGCTGCTTTCTCACAGGAAGTCATGTGAACATTCATTCCTTAGAAATGAAATCTGACCGACCATGGCCCGGGTCCTGGGCAGCCATCATCTGTCTGCACATCCATCCAGTGCTTAGAAACTCTCCAAGATCAGCTGAGTCTCCTTCACAAAAAAAATTTTTTTTTCAAATTGGTACAACATTAACTTGGTTTTTTGTTTTTTGGTTTTTTTTTTTTTAATGTTTGCTTCAAGAGACAGATTCCTTAGAAACTGAGGTGTTTGGTAGATTAATGGATTAAAAGGTCTGGATATTTGATGTTTTCTTCTAACGTTACCCAGTTCTTTCAGAGAGCCTCTGCCTCTGGACCTTGTCCATGTTCATGGTGATAGTATTGCCCCCCAGCAAGGTCTGCTGAGCAACACTGCCACCTTTCCCTCAGAGATTGTTGGTTACCAGGAAGAACGTTAAGGGAATAATGCCAGTCTCTTGGCCCAAACCAAAAAGGCTTTAAGCAATCTTTTGTATCATCAGTGTGCTCTTTCGTTTTTGTTTGTTGGTCAAATCAACATATTAGGAAAAGAGAACCATGTTCTCACCATAAACATCCTTGGCCTTGATAGGAACATCAAAACTGTGTGCATGGAAGTTCTTCGTTCTCCGTGTCTGTCCTGCTTAAAACAGCTTGCGCGCATGAAAAACAAAAAAACTGTGGCTTGGATATTACAAAAATAAATGCATTTTGGATCGGGGGAGAGGGGAAATGGGGGAGATGGGACAGGGGAGGGGAGGGAAGATGTGATCGGGATGTATTTTATGAGGGAAGAAAAAAAATAAATTAAAATACATTGAAAATCATGTACACTAGGGGGCTGGAGAGATGGCTCAGAGGTTAAGAGTATTGCCTCCTCTTCCAAAGGTCCTGAGTTCAATTCCCAGCAACCACATGGTGGCTCACAACCATCTGTAATGGGGTCTGGTGCCCTCTTCTGGCCTGCGGGCATACACACAGAATATTGTATACATAATAAATAAATATTTTTAAAAAATCATATACACTCATTTTAACGAGCATCTATTTCACTTGGGCATAGAAAAACACCAATATTATATAGAATGTTAGAGAGAAATTGTACTTGTCAGAACAGAGAAGGTTCTCGTCCTCCTGAGATATACCCTACACATGCCTTTGGCTCGGTCTCCTAACCTCTGAGAGCCTGTTCACTCCCATGTGTATAAAACATATAATCCCAGCACTCGGGAGGCAGAGGCAGGTGGATCTCTGTGAGTTCGAGACCAGCCTGGTCTACAGAGCTAGTTCCAGGACAGGCTCCAAAACCACAGAGAAACCCTGTCTTGAAAAACCAAAAAAAAAAAAAAAAAAAAAATATTGAGAACTACCAGTCCACTCTACAACACTATTGCTATCAGATGCAAATTTTATTAAACATCTCCAGTTAGGATTTAAAACAGAAGCCACTAGGGTGCCAGCACCCACTCTGGTGTTTCCTGAGAGTTCAAGACCTTCATTCTTGAAAGTAACGTATCCTTCCTTCCACAATGTAGATCAACTACAGGAGGAAGTAAGAGAAGACGAAGGACAAGTTCACCTCGGTTGTGGACACTCCAGAGCACCTGCGCACCACCAAAGTCAACAAGCAAATCAGTGAAGTAAGTACAGAAGCCAAGAGCCTGCGTTCTCAGGTTCAGGAGCGTTTGCCCAGGAGTGGACCATTGTAGACTGTCATGCATCTGAGATGCAGGGGGAAGAAAGCAAGGGGGGGGGGGGGCTGCATGCCTGCCGCACTCAGAGCTCTGCCTTCTTTCACACTGGAGACTTGTCATTCAAATCGGCAAGCCTGCCAGTGGAGCATCGGGCCCCAGCAGAAGGCTACAAACGCCTATTAGGTTTATAGAATTGTCTTTTCCTCCTAATTCACTTTCCGTTTGTATTTTAAATGGAGAAACATCATTTTGTACCTTCCTGCCTTTTGATCCGCTGCAGATACTTTATAAACTGGAGTACAACAAGGCCAGACCCAGAGGCTACACCACCATCCACGACACACCCATGCTGCTGCATGTCCGCAAAGTGAAGGATGAAGTCAGTGATGTGAGTAGCCTTTGTCAGCCCCTCTGTCTTGGGCTTTCAACACGGTGGCGTGAACCCCAGGTAGTGACCTCTGTCTGGGGAAAAACCACTTGGCAGCCTAATAAGCCTGAAATCATAATCCTCCATTTTCCTTATGATTCTGAGTTTATTGGATGCAACAAAATAGGTATGTTCCAAAAGCTGTAGGCAGACATCTGGGCCACAGCTGGGCCAGAAATTCAAGGCGAATCTTCCAGGACCCCAGCACAGTGTGAAGGAGAAGGGCAGGCAGATGCAGAGGTACAGAGTGCAGTTGGAGGGGACTGACTGACGGAGCTTAGTTAGCCCAGGGCAGCAAGACAAAGCAGATTCGTACAGTTCGTGTCCGAGGGAGAGATATTGGTATATTGGTCAGGTCAAAGGCAACCCCACCAGAACCAGGAATGTGCCTACTTATCTTGAGATAATGTCAGCTGGGCATGGTGGCACGTGTCTTTAATCCCAGCACTCCTGAGGCAGAGGTAGGTGGGTCTCTGTGAGTTCTACACCAGCCAGAACTATATAGTAAGACCCTGCCTCAGAAGCAAGAGCAGACAAGAGCCACAAACAATAATGCCAAAGAATTCGACCCTTCCCTGGCACCGACCTTTGATTGCAAAGGTCTATATATCACTACAGTGATTTGCTGGGAAACGGTGCAGGGGAAACCGATTTGGGTAATCATGGCAGTTAGGATCAGATAAGCACAGCCATGCGAAGCTGAATCCACAGAGAGCCACACTCACACAACCGACAGCCCATGGTCATTTGACTTCTATATAAATGAGGGTCCTTCTGGGCATCTCTCCACATGGCTCGGCTGCTGGCAGTGGAAAGCCTGGGCTCCAGGAGCCAGAGAACCGAAACTTCAAAGTCAGTCGAGAACTAAACCTAGAACTCAGACTTCATTCCCTCCCTGGTTTTCATACACATTCAAGAGATGTGTTCACTTGCTGTCACCAAGATAAATTCTCGTAGAAAAAGAACGGGTTTTATTTTGACCCATAGTAGGGCATTTCCACTCTTGTGATTGGCTGGCCCTGTTGCTTGAGCCTGGATGTGGCTGCACCGCATGGCAGAGGTGCACAGCAGAGCAAAATTGCTGACCTCTTCATGCTTGAGATACAGAAGAAGAGAAAGGAGCTGGGGGTCTCAGGCTCCCCTCAAAGGACCAGCAGGCAGTGCTGTTGGGAGGTAGAAGAAGCTGTGGGAGATGCGGCCACCTTCTACCACCTCCTAGCAACACCTGCGGCTGGGGACCAAGAAGTTAGCATGTGAGACTCTAGGAACATTCCAGATCCGAACTACGGCAAGTGCTAAAGCTCTGGATGAGCAAACAGCAGAGCCTTACTGCAGGCCAGCGTGGGGAAGTGGTCCCACAGAGGCCATTGTCAATAAAAGCGCAGCATGACACACATGCCAAAAATACTCTCTCCACCTTATCTTCCCTGAGAAAAACGAACTCGTGTTCTTACACTCTGAATTTCACAAGAATTCCTATCCATAAATTTTCAAATATTTGACTTTTGATCGGCACAGCAATTCATGTCTATAATCCTAGCATTTGGGAAGCTGGACAGGAGGATTGCTAGTTTAAGGCCAGATAGAGCTACATAGCAAGATCTTTTTCAAAAATAAACCAAACCAAAACTAGATATTTGCTTGATTTTTGTAGTTGAAAACCGCCATCATTTTCACTGAAAAAAAAAAGATTCACTATTTGTTGTTTTAAAAATATTTAATTTTTTGTAGCTCTAACTGGCCTGGAGCTCACACTGATTTCCCTGTCTCAGCCTCCCAAATGGCATGAACCAACATGCCTCACATAGATTCATTGTTTTAATAACTCTGTGGCTATGTACACTTCTGGGTGCACACACGCATATATAAATACACAATGTATACATATACATATGTATATGTGTGTATATGCATATGTATATGTTTATATATTTATCTGAGCTGAGGCAAATATGTTGTGCCTAATCTCCATCCTAAAAACTTGATTATTACTGTGCTCAGGATTGCATTGGTAGATGAATAAATATGCCATACTGTTGACTAGGGGTCACCATGAAAAACACATGATTATCCAGTACATTGATTGAGAAGGTGGAAATCTGTAAAGAGCATCTTTGCAATGTAAAATCTGTTAAAATAAGTTTGGATGTTACAAACATAAATGATCATAAGTATCTGTCAGGTCGAGACCATATGGGAGCAGCTTGCTCCCTGCAGAAAATTGAGGTGTATCTATATCTATTTCCTCAAATGTGTGTTAGAATATCCTGGGGTTGGGTACTGATGAAAAGTACTAATTCCTAGGATTTCCTCCTGGAGTCTGGATTAATGCAGTAGGTCTGTGGTCAAGCCCAGAATGCAATGGTTCTTGTCGTAAATATAGTAAACCCTACTATGGTTCCTTGCCTCTGAGAAGCTCACTCTGTCGTAGTCATGGTGCACCTGGGATCCTTCCCCTTCAACTAGTGGAAATGACCAGATTGCATCCTAGGGCCGTGGAATTTAGGGAAAACAAAAATAGAGAAGCTAGAAGTCCCAGACTCAAGACAGAGGAACGGCTTGTCAGGCCTCTCCAATTCGATCCAGTTACCAGCACTTATGAGGTGCAGCTGTGGACCCACAGCTGTGAGGAGAGCATCTTTCAGTCCCTCTGCACCCTGAGTGTTTATGTGCCGGTCCCTGGATGGGAGACGACAACTTCCCTTTGAAGGGCTTCAGCTAAATAGAAAGCTAGGCAGATAAAGGGGCTAGGCTTTGAGCAGACAGCGGAAGAATCATGGAGCACAGGAGGAGGGCAGGCCTGAATGCCTCCACGAGGGCGGGTTTTCAGGACGTCTGCACCAGGCTTCCCTGATGCAGGAAGGTAAAGTGGAAGTGGGTAGCACCAGCTCCCTGTTTGGACCACACCCGCAGGTGTTAACCCCGTGGCCACACTTGCTGTGTCCTGACGTATCTGAGGAAGAAGGGGCCCGTCTCTTCACAGCTCCATCTCTCCACAGCAGGGTTTGACTAAATACTCACAGGGAACATCATGTGCTAACATTATAGCTTTACTTTGTTTATAAAATATTTTACTAACTTCCTTCCTAGGGGAAAAAAAGTTTACCATGTTACTGTTTCCTCCCATAGCTGAAATACAAGGAAGTTTACCAAAGAAATAAATCTAACTGCACCATCAAGCCAGATGCTGTTCATATCAAAGCAGCCAAAGATGCCTACAAAGTCAACACCAATGTAAGTGCCAAGATGTTCCCCCAAGGCAAACTTAGCCTCTTTTTGCTGCTGTACTAGAACACCCATGACTAGGTAGCTTACAGAAATTGATTGACGTTCTAGAGACAGGGAGGTCAAAACCACGGTGCGTCTGGCGTGGCTCCTCTTGCTACGTTCTCCTGCGGCAGGAAGTGGAAGGGCAGGAGAGCAAGGGAAAAGGCTGAGAGATAATTAACGCCCTCCTGCGCCGTGAGCGCCAATACTCCTCAAGGCTCGGCCCTAATGACCACACGGCCTGCTGAAGGTCTCCCCTCCTGTCATCACAGGGCAGGAAAACCTCAGCGTGAGTTTTGGAGATGGCTGTGGTTTGCTGTTTGCTTCCAAGCGCAGTAGGGATTTATCGACTTCAGTGAGCATGGGTCCTTTGGCGTCTCTTCGTGAGACAGAGCTCTGCCTGTCCAGATGAAAAGCTCACCTCCAGGAAAATGAGTACTGAGTGATGTTAAAAACCAAACACCCCCTTCTGCTCCTCATGAAGGAGCATGAAGAAGGGCAAGGGTGGCCTGACCTAGTCACACGTTACATCTCCTTAGCCTTTGTGAGCGGCTGAAACCTAAAGGCTAATTCTGCAATGAAGGCTGCACTTTGGAAAGGGCTTCAGCATCTTTCATTCTTTGCCCCATGCTCTCCTCGGGCCCTCAGCTCTAGCATCTCCTTCTGAAGGAGAAAACGGAGTTACTAGCTGCCATCGGGTCAATGTCTGGATCCTCCGCTTGTTTAGATCTGCCCTGCATTGATGTGTGTCTTTAGCTGTAACATCCTAAAGTCTCATCCATAGAAACAACTCCGCGAATTAGATGGGCACCAGCTTTTAAAAATATATAAAATAGTGTCATGAGACATTAGTAGCAACCCATCTGATTCTCATTCATTCCAGAAGCACCCATTTTTTTTTATTGGGGCCAGTAAACTAAGGTTCCATAAGAGCTAGCAGGTGTCTTAAGACTAACTCCCTTAGTTAGGGTTTCTATTGCTATGAAGAGACACCATGACCACAGCAATTCTTATAAATAAAAACATTTAATTGGGGCTCACTTATAGTTCCAGAGGTTTAGCCCATTATCATCATGGCCGGAAGCAAGGCGACATGCAGGCAGACATGGTATTACTGGAGCTGAAATTTCTTACATCGTGATCCAAAGGCAACAGGAAGTGAACTGTCTTACTGGGCAGAGTTTAAGCATATATGAGACCTCAAAGCCTGCCCCCACAGTGATACACTTCCTCCAACAAGGCCACACCTCCTAATAGTGCCATTCTATCCTGGGGGTCATTTTCTTTCAAACCACCACGAGTTAGTAGGCAATGAACAGGGAAATAGATGCCGGAAGGAAATAGACCCCGTGGAATCTGGGTGGTGGTTGTATGTAGTCTCTGTAATATTCTGGCCACCTTTACAGAAATAACTGTAATTTACTTACAAGCTAACCAGCACTTGACTCTGCGGGAGATTGGGGGGGGGGCACTGGCAGTTAAGGAAGATGTAGAATCATTTCACCCAGAAGCATTTCAAAGCTTTAGTGCTGATTTGGTACAAAGGGTGTCGATGGATGACCTTAGTGGCTGGCGAGCTGCATCGAGCGCAGACAGTTTCACGAGCTATGATTGGTGGAATGTCCAACTGCAGGAGTCTCCCTGCGCACTGCATGCATTCGTAAACGGAGCCTGAGTACTGTCTTTCTGTCACATTCAAAACAGCTGGACTATAAGAAGCAATACGAAGCCAACAAAGCCTACTGGAAGTGGACGCCTGACCGGCCTGACTTCCTCCAGGCTGCCAAGTCATCACTACAGCAGAGTGACGTAAGGACGGAGGCAGCGTGTGGTTGTTTCTAATATGCCCCGCCAGGACGCTAACCCCAGCGGGTATGGTATGAGGTCCAAGTCGAAGAAAGTGTGATGGGAGAAGCAAGTTCATGAAATAACCCAGCTGTTGAGCCTGTACTCTTGACAACTGGGCATAGGCACTGTGGACTCAGAGACCTGAAGCTAGAGGGGGTTTGGCTGGGAGACCTGAATCCTGGTCCTGGTTCTGATCTCTGGGCTAGAAGGGATGAAGTGAATGGCCAGGAATCCCCTCCCTTTACTCTAGGGAAGTCTTCTTCAAAGACTTCTCTCTGGTTTAATCCTCTGCTTTCTTCTATCACAGTATGAATATAAACTGGACCGGGAGTTTCTCAAGGGCTGCAAGCTGTCTGTCACTGATGATAAGGACATGGTGCTGGCCCTCAGGAACTCCTTAATAGAAAGTGATGTAAGTATCCTGCCTTCTACAGTGTCTGCCCTGGCTCGAGACCATCTCTTGCAGCAACAATCCTCAGAAACATCCAGGACAGGACAGAAGTTCTCTCTGTAGGGGATTGGCTGTGGTCCTGACACATGGTCCCGCCCTCAGTGGCATCAGCAATGAGCTGGGCGCCATCTGTAAAAGTGCTGGTGAGCCCGGGCTTATTCCTGGCTTACAGCACAGCACAGACTAGGACTCGGAAGGTGTGACTCGATTCTCTCCCAGACCTTTAGTCTCTTTTCTGTGAGATCCTTTTCTTTCTACTGCATACTTACCACATCTGAATGGAAAGTAAGAAAGATCGTGTGTCCAGCCCTGGTGGCATATTTGAGAATGCTTTGAACTAAAGGCAAAGGTTTGCTGTGAGATGTCATCTTTATTAAAACCTCAACTTGAAAGTTGTCAGGGGAAAAAAACTATTTTGAATGCACATCAAATTCTTTATTGTGCGCCATGGTGTTATCCTCTGATATTGTTGAGGGATTTGGGGGTCAATTAAAAGTATGCAGGACACTCCAAGAAAGTAAGAAATGTCTACTTTCTCCCCCTTCTACTCCTACAGCTGAAATACAAAGAGAAACATGTTAAGGAAAGAGGAACATGTCATGCTGTACCTGACACCCCACAGATCCTCCTGGCAAAGACTGTCAGCAATCTGGTGTCTGAGGTAACCCACCCACGGCCCATATGCTTCGCTTCCATCACCGGCTGAGGCCCCAAGCAGAGCCCTTAACACTGTTTTTGTGGGTTCCCCCAGAACAAGTACAAGGACCATGTCAGGAAGCACCTGGCCCAGGGTTCATACACGACACTGCCAGAGACCAGGGACACAGTTCACGTGAAGGCCGTGACCAAGCACGTCAGTGATGTAAGTGGCCAGCCACAGAGCTCTAGATGGCAGCTTTGAATCGTGTCGAAGACTGCCACCTCCTTGCTTACCAATGCTTTCTTTTATATCTCAGTGCCCTTAACCTGAGTACTTACTTGTATACGAATCCTAAACTCTAGCTTCTAAAACTGTATTGGTATTCCAATCGTGGCAGACATGGGTTCTGCTTCATAGCACAGCCAGCAGTAGAAGGTAAAACTAGTGTTGATAATGGGAGGGAGCAGGGCCAGTCAAGAAGACCTCTGCTACCATTAAACAACTGTGCAATGTGAGAGCTAAAATCACGTTGTGCACCTCAGTAATCTCTGCCCGCTGCATCCAGCTCTTAGAGACTATGACTCGTATATTCTAAAGGTAAGAATCAAGAGTAAGCATGTAATATGCTTGAAATCAGTTCTCTAAACTTGCCTGCTAGTTCCGGTGTTGATTCAAATAGAGAAAGAGTGGGGAGGAAGTAGATTACGACTCAGAGATCAGTTATAGCTGGCACCATGATGGGGAGCCATGGATTTTCCCGGAGATCTTCTCAGAGTCTTGAAATAAATCTCTTTCTCACCTTCCTCCGCTCACATGAGTAATTCTGATGCTGTTTAGACAAATTACAAAAAGAAGTTTGTCAAAGAGAAAGGGAAGTCCAACTACTCCATCATGCAAGAGCCCCCAGAGGTGAAGCATGCCATGGAAGTGGCCAAGAAGCAGAGCGATGTAAGTTCCCCTTCGGCATCCCAGTGGACCCCAGATGAGTGCACGTTCTTGCTCTAGTGATTTCTCTAGCCAATGGGTTCAGAAGCACAGTGGTGCAAACTGGCTTGCTTTTACTTAACACGAAAGATGTTTGTATTGAATGAGGACGTTTCAGAATTCTGTGTACCTCAAACATTTCCTTCCCCCAAATAAGGTTGCTTATAAAAAAGATGCCAAAGAGAATCTGCATTACACCACAGTTGCTGATCGGCCAGACATCAAGAAGGCCACTCAGGCAGCCAAACAAGCCAGTGAGGTAAGATCACCCTGAAAATGTCCCTGGCACCCAATGGCTACTGTGAAAAAGAACAGGGTGTGTGCCACCATGACCACACTGCCCATTTTGGTTCTCTCTCGTACAGGTGGAGTACAGAGCCAAGCACCGCAAGGAAGGCAGCCATGGGTTAAGTATGCTTGGCCGCCCAGACATTGAGATGGCCAAGAAGGCAGCCAGGCTGAGCAGCCAGGTAAGGGAAGAGGGCAAGCAGTGACTCCAATGTGAGATTTTAAAAACCGTCCAGTGGGAAGTGCTTCCCAGAAAGAGCTCTGTCAACAACTAAGCGGACACGGGCTCTTAAGTTGCACGGTGGCCCTTTGAAAAATACTGAGGGCCTTGACTCATTTCCTGCTAACCAAGCTAGGTTCTCTAGTCTTTCAGATCTCCACTTGTAGGTATGCATCTAGCTGCCTGTGTACTGAACTGTTCTCATGCGACAAAGAGGGCCTCTTCTCAGGCAGTAAGATTCACATCCAAGTCTGCTTTATATGTGGGTCACCTACGAGAGACTTGGCACTGTGTAGCAGTGATGAATTTCTAACTTAAAACCCAACTGCATAAAAAAATACCATATCAGTGCCATGTTTGTGGCACATAGTACATGCAGTCATGATGGGGCAACTTGAGATTCTCCTCAGTAACGTGAGAATGATGCCAGCAAGGCAGTGCTCTGGCTTTCTCATTTCATGGACCTTGGTCGGAGGAATAACCAGATCCTGTTAGTGCTGAAGACAGACAGACAGACAGACAGACAGAAAGACAGAAAGACAGAAAGACAGAAAGGTCAAAGGTCAAAGGTCCTGTTCTTTTTTCTGTTAACTTTGTGTTGGAAACACCATGACCACAGCAACTCTTATGAAGATTTTGGGGGGTTGCTCGCTCAAAGGTTTAGTCCATTATCATCACAATGGGGAGCATGGCAGCGTGCAGGCAGACACGATGCTGGAGCTGAGAGTGCTCCATCTTGAAGGTGCCAGGAAGATTTAGCAAAAGAGACCTCAAAGCTCACCCCCACAGTGACACACCTCCTCCACATCTCCTGATAGTGCCACTCCCTTTGGGGACATTTTCTTTCAAACCACCACACTTATCATACAGACTCTTTTTCTTTTCAGAGCTTTCCTTCTGAAACATACTTGGAATAGGAAGATGTTGATGTTAAAGAGTTTTCCCCATAGTTCCTTCATCCTTTGTAAAAACAAGTCTTCATGGGAGTAGTTTTCCATCTGGGGATTGTTTTCCAGTCTTTACAAGTACCAATGTCTCGTACAATGCCCTGAAAACCAACTAAACAATTAGACATTAAACCATTAAATAGATGTTAAACAGTTAAAAGCAAGTACTAGAGAGAAAACTAACTTATAACCACTTAGAGCACTGTGTGTGTGCTATAGACCAATAACTGAGCCTTGTGGACTGACAGAGCCTGGGTGCTGCCTCTTGTTGGGCCATGGCACCACAGCTACCTCAGTGGCCTCCACGGTTAGTGAGCAGAAGTAGCCTTTGGAGTTCCAACTGTCACTGCCCTTTCCTCCCAGTCCCTTCCCATTGCTGAAGCATTGAACCTTATGTATGGACACATCTTTGAAGATACGATTGGTTAAACCAAAGCCCAAGGCACTCCGATCATGTCTGCCATTATGGTGGCTGCATTTTGCCTGGCAGCCCTCTTTTGGAGAGGAAAGGTGTTTGGGGTTGTTGTTTTGGATTGTTACATTAATTTTAAAAGTTGGAAATTTAAGTAAACTTGAAATGTAATGAAGATGCTCAGGTGAAGCCAACTGGATGGCTGCTCCTCAGAACAAATGTTGCTTCCAAATAAAGTTACAGTCTACAGGGTGGGTCTGCACCCTTCTAGGCTTTGTTCTTACTCAGCATGAGGGTCTATTTCTTCCCATCCCATGTGAACTAGCGCGCTTCCTTTTCATGTCATAGCTGTGGTGACCATCCCTTATCTTCTAAACATAAGCTGGAGTACAAACTGTGTGACCACTTACAGCGCGGGCATAGTCTCTACCACTCCCATTTCCCTATCGGGTGCTCAGGAACAATCTGGTGGTTTGCATTTGTTGTTAGGTTAAATACCGAGAAAATTTTGACAAAGAGAAGGGCAAGACACCAAAATACAACCCAAAAGACAGCCAGCTCTACAAAACTATGAAAGATGCCAACAACCTTGCAAGTGAGGTATGTTCTTTGACTGTGGTGAACTGTATACATCCTGTTGCCTTCTAACCAATATTTCAGGAGCACTAATCACTTTCACCGTGTTCTCCAGCTACCACCGTTTCCAAGGCCCTTTTGTTTTTAATATTTATTTATTATGTATACAATATTCTGTGTGTATGCCTGAAGGCCAGAAGAGGGCGCCAGACCTCTTTACAGATGGTTGTGAGCCACCATGTGGTTGCTGGGAACTGAACTCCAGACCTTTGGAAGAGCAGGCAATGCTCTTAACCACGGAGCCATCTCTCCAGCCCCCCAAGGCCCTTTAATTACCCCCAGAGAAAACCATGAAGCAACCCTTTCTTCCCTCGGCTCCTGGTAGCCTCTGTGTCTGTATGATTCTGCCTAATTTACAGATGTCATATTTCTTTGTCTTATTTTAAGTTTCCTCCCCAGCCTCCCTCCCCAGCGTTCATTTCATGAAGCGCTGTCTTCCTGTCGATTTCCTTAGTGCTGTTTTCTATGTTCTATTCACGTGATTTCCAGTTTTTTCCTCCCTTCCCACTAGGTCAAATACAAGGCTGACCTGAAGAAACTCCACAAGCCTGTGACTGACATGAAGGAGTCCCTGATAATGAATCACGTCCTGAACACAAGCCAGCTTGCCAGTTCTGTAAGCTCAATCATCTGTGCTGGAAACAGCTCCTTTCAGCCATTTGCAGTTTGCTTCCTCCTCTGAGCTTCTATGGTCTCTTCTCTGCTACTGATACTTTGAACTTATATCTGATGATATTCCTCCAAATGGCATTAATCTTCCAACCCTTCATCAACTACAACACCTCTTAGAATGTAAAGCTGCTTCTATTTGGGTTGGGGATGTGGCTCCATAATGTTAACCCATGAGTTTGATACCCAGGAGAAACAAACAAACAAATGGCTCTAGTCCTTGTAAAGATGTAAAAGAATTGTCTAAAACAGCCTCTCACTTTCACTGATGCCTGTGTAGAAGCATCCGTAGCAGTTCAGTGTATGTCTCTAGTATTAGGAACAGTACTACACTGGAGCTCTATCTAGCCTATTTTTTTTTCTTTCTTCTTTTTTGTTTATGGGGAAGGGGTGGAAGGGGGTCTCTCTCTAGACTTGGCTGGCCTGAGGCTTGCTGTGTAAGCCAGACTGACGCTGGACACAGATCCCTGACACCCCTGCCCGAATACTGGGATTAAAAGCATGCACTGCACGCCTGGTCCTTAGACAGCCAATCCAAAGAGGGAAGCCTGAGACACTGTGGAACCTTCCCACTGATGTGCTTTCTGCTGCTTCCCCTCAGTACCAGTACAAGAAGAACTATGAGAAGAGCAAAGGCCACTACCACACGATACCCGACAACCTGGAACAGCTGCACCTCAAAGAAGCCACGGAGCTGCAGAGCATTGTAAGTCCATCAAGAGAGCGGCCCACAGCCAGTGTCTGTTCGCCCACAGTATCAATAACCAGCACCAGATCCACTCTAGACTTTGAGAAAAGGCTCACTGGCACTGGGGCTTTGAACTTAGTAATATTTTGATAATATTGTATTAACAGTATTTGTGCATAATAGAAAAATATACATGCTGACTGAGGTTTTCTGTCCTGCCAGGTTCCCACAATCATTAAGTCCTAAAGAAATCACACAGAGGTCTACATTAGTAATAAACTGATTGGCCCATTAGCTCAGGCTTCTTATTAACTCTTATAACTTATATATATTCTTGTCTATGTTAGCCGCGTGGCTCAGTATTTTATTCGGTGAGGCAGTCACATCTTGCTTATTCTGTGGCTGGGCCAGGACTGCTAAATAAGCATTCCTCTTCACAGAATTCTCCTGTTCTCATTGGCCCACCTCTACTTCCTGTCTGGTTGTCCCGCCTATACTTCCTGCCTGGCTACTGGCCAATCAATGTTTATTTAAAAATATAATTGACAGAATACAGACAATTGTCCCACACTATATGCATGCTGTACTGTTTGTTCTTCAGGTTATGACAAGACTGGAAGCATGACAGTTAATTTCCAGGCAAGACAAACCCCTTACAGTCACCCTGATGTGCCCTTTGATCTGTGTCCCAAGTCAGGAAACACCAGTAGACAGGGATTCCTGGGGGGGGGGGGAGTTACTAGATGTGTGACGTGATCAGATCTAGTCCTGGAAGAGGATCTGGGTGCTATAATTTTTTTCAGAAGTTTTTTTTTTTTTTCAGAGAAAATAACGTTCTATTAACATGGCCTTGCTATCACAAAATCACCATTATGGGGCCCCATCGGGTATTATCCAGCAGGCTGGGTTACTCTAGGTGCCCCCACATCCCACGTGAGCAGTGTGTCCTCTTCCAGTGCCCCATATAATCGAGAGAGCTGAGTTGAGTGATGCCATTAAGGCTATGAGTGGAAGAGTCTTTCTTTGTCTCAGTTTCTCCTCTGTGAAATATTCTGTTTATGTGACTCCCTATTAATAATAGCATGTGGTAAGGATGAGGTAATTTTATTTGATAATATCAAGTTTATTAGTGATTCTGTCCAACTGTAAACTAGCTTTCCTTTCTATGGCAGTTTATAGCAAATAGTTAAATAGAGAGAGAGAGATGACCCGGGGAAGTTATGTGCTTATAAAACCTCATATGCTCTCCATTCAGTTGAGACCCCAGATCTCTGGTGATAGCTCTTTTGAAAGGACTGGGGGTTTATCAGCAATATCAAAAGATGCTATTTATTGTCAAGTGTTCACATATAGATATCAAATCATGGCCAACCTCAGATATGGGCAACCTTCTCCAAGCGTCATTTCAAAAAGTCAATATTCCCGTCAGCTGATTGTTGCCACTGATTCTTTTGTCTCTCTAAATTAAATCTAAACATGGTAGATTGTACTTTTCAGATAGCATTGATTCTCAGCCCCCCCCCCCCCCCCCCCCCCCGCCCCCCGGCATCAACTAAAAAGTTCCTCAATCAGCAACACAACAGGAAAGTCTTTTGAGTGGCAATGAGATTACTCAACTGGACATAGTTTGTCAACTAAAAATCCTTTCTCTAGCTTGGTAGTAGCATCCCCGTAATCTCCATACTTGGGAAGCTGAGACAAGAGGGCTATGAGTTCAAGGCCAGTCTGTGATCCATTGTGAGAACCTGTCTCGGATATTAAACCAGTTAGTAAATTCCTGGCCATAAGTAAAGCCTCTGTCTAGGAATTGACAAGCAGAGAGATACTTAACAGACCTTCTCATCCCTAGGTGAAATACAAAGAAAAATATGAAAAAGAACGAGGAAAGCCCATGCTCGACTTTGAGACTCCAACATACATTACTGCCAAAGAGTCTCAGCAGATGCAGAGTGGGGTAAGTCCTGAATACCAGAAAGGACGGAAACATCAAACCAGTGAACACTGGCTCAGGCAGGACCATTTCCAGCCTCCAGTTATCCAAAACTGATCAGAGACACAGCTTTGTAACCCATGACTTCTAAATTCCTGCTCGTTGTAGAAATCTTATAATTATTTTCTTTAGGATGTTTTGAGTAGTATTTGGCGTACATGTTTTGTTCCAACAAGTATTTTCATAAAATTAGAAAACAATCCTTCCTAAACATGAAAATATTATATGGACCACAGTGTTAATATTCCTTTGCTGAAAGAAGAGTTCCCACCGTACAGGTGCATTGCTGCTTTGCCATGGCCTCCACTTAGTGGAATGCCCCGGGCCAAACAAGTGGGGTTCCATTCCTGCACACCCATGTTTACTGTGGCAGTAGTAACTACAGTCAAGTCAGGAAATCGGCCTACTTGCCCATCAACAAATGAATAGATATGGAAAAAGTCGTGTTATTTATACATAATGGAGTGCTACTCTCACAGAAGGGAGTCATGTTACTACTTGTAGGAAAATGGATAGAACTGGAGGTCATTGCGTTAAATTAAACAAGCCGGACTTAGACAAATGTCCTATGTTTACAGAACCCAGGTTTTATTTTTAAGGACATGAATGCACAGAGGGAATTATTTGTGAAGACAAAGAAGGTAGATTGAGAGAAAAGAAAGATAAAGACAGAGATGGGGTGGATATGATCAAAGTATATTATATACATGTAGGAAAAAAGTCAAGTCAAATGCCATATTCCTTATCATGAAAAGAGGAGGTTTTTGTTTTTGTTTTTTTTTTTTTTTAGTTTGAACCATAAACAGAGAATGAATTTTACAGGGAAATAGGCCTTTGGAGATCTTGCTTGCCTCTTCTCCATGAGGCCTATGTCTAGCGATGACAACAGATGATGCTTTGTTCTGTTCTGTCTTCTTTCATTTTTAAAGAGAAGTAGTTTGTGAGCTTTCTATGACCTGCATTCCTTCCATATACCAAGAAAGTTCAAAACAGGCTCAAGAAATCAGTGAGTCCGAACTAAGTCTATGCGAGTGCTCTGTGGTACTCTTGAAACTTTCCTGGGGATTTAAAGCCCTGTGAAGATAAGCCAGCAAAGCATGCTTCTTCTAACATCTGTCCTCTGTGAGAGTGACGTCATGTGTTCAAGAGATCAGGAAAGGGGGGACTAGCCCTTTCTCTCACCCATGGATGAAACTACAGACTCCTATGCTCCAGCCTCACTTTTCACCTAGTCTATTCAGGGATTCAAATAATAGGTCGCAAGCCCCTTACTGCCTACCTGGGGCCCAAGAGGACTGCGCCTGGCACTGTAATGCAGACAGGACTGTGTCTGTCACTTTGACGCTAGAACCTAACAAAGTGCTGGCACATGGTAGGTGTTGCCTGTTCAATGAAGAGGTTGAAAAGGAGGTTGTGACAGCAAGGTGACACACACCTGTAATCTCAGCACTCAGGAGGCTGACGCAGGAGGATCATGAGTTCAAACCCAGCCTGTCTGTCACACCTCAAAAACGAAGTCATGATGTTGCGAAGTGCCATTGCAGGTGTGGTCCCTTGAGTTCCTCTTTCTAATTCCATCCCCGGAGCTGCTGTAAATTCCGAAACAAAATATCTCCACTTTAAGAAAAATGTGGTAGAGGAGTTGTTCAGATGGCTCAGTGGTTAAGAGCACTGACTGCTTTTCCAGAGGACCCAGGTTTGATTCCCAGCACCAACATGACAGTTCACAGCTGTAACTCCAGTTCCTGTGGAATCCAACACCCCACTTCTGGCCTGAGCAGGCAAAACTCCCATACATGTGAAAATAGAATAAAGTAAAATTTAAAGTGTGACAGGACCAGCGTGATGGCTCAGTGTGTGAAGAACTTCCAGCGCGAGCCTGACGACCCAAGTTCCACAAGACCCAAGGAGGGCACTGACTCCTGCAAGCTGTCCCCATCCTCCACATGTGCACATGGCATAAGAACTGTGGCATGTGTGTGCCCATGCTCCCACGCATCACCCACAATGATGGAAATAATAATAACAATAATAAATGGGGCAGTCTCAGGAAGAGTAGATTCTAAATTAATGGCCCATCCATCCCCTCACTGTGGTTGGTGCCAGCTCCATCGCAACCTTAGGTAGACTTTTAGGAGTCATGAAAGACCTTCAGTTTCTTTGGAGCCATTGACTGCCAGCCAAGTATTTCTGGAACAACGAGACACTTTCAAATGCGCACGCCTTGTCAGAACTGTGGTTAAGAGGCCAAACCCTACCAGAAAACCTACATGCTCTTCTTAGGTCTGAAATATGGATTCTAACAGGGTCTTTCTTGTTTTTCCTTTTCACTCATATTAGAAAGAATATAGGAAAGAATATGAAGAGTCCATTAAAGGCAGAAACCTGACGGGCCTGGAGGTCACGCCAGCTTTGTTACATGTCAGACATGCAACCAAAATAGCAAGCGAGGTAGTAGCCGCTTGGTCTTCCCTTCCCTCTTCACCCAATAATCACACTAATGACTCATCTTTGTGCTCCTACCCGGATGCCACTTGGGATTTCCAGTGGAGTTCCCATGTTTGGTACTACTGTCTAATCTATGACCCCTTTTAATTCCTCTAATTTTTAAAATGGAATATATAATAAAACATGCATACCTTAGTAGTCTGTAGACAATCTAATCAAACATGCCTACCTCTGCATTCTATAAATATCTAGTCTTGTATTTAATAATTAACATCAACTGTGAACCATAAACTCTGTATTTTACTTAACGTATTTACTTACTCAACCAGGAACTGTTAAAAACTGGGATAATTGTTTTATTTATTTATTCATTAACTTATTTTGGTTTGCTTTTTTGGATCTTCACCTAAGAACAATCCAGGTTTTCTTGTCAGTTTCGTTGCTTTTATTTTGTGATATAGAAAGAGTATAGGAAAGATCTGGAAGAAAGCATTCGAGGGAAAGGTCTCACTGAAATGGAAGATACTCCTGACATGCTGAGAGCGAAGAACGCCACTCAAATCCTCAATGAGGTAAGACTGTAGCCACCTACTGCATGCACATCCTTCATATGGTACCTGTATACCCAAATTAGACCAAGAAAGAGAAAAAATAGCTTTTACCTTTCAGACTTTATATCCAGAATAGTTATTGACTGCTAGATAAAGTGTATGTCAATTTCTGATGAGTAGAAAGGAAACACGATATTTGTCTATAGCAGCTGTCATAACCAGTTAATATTGAATATTGCTTGATTTAGTTTTGACATATTCACAATGCTCATTTAGATGAAAACAGCACAGCACACTGGGATGGTTGGTGTGCTCCTAAATTTAATCCTAGTAATGTACCAAGCCAGATTTAAAATTTACTTTCCGTGTCAATAGACTTCCCTTGCCTAATGTCAGCATACCTAGAGCAGGATGAACAAGCATGCCACCATGACCTGGGAAGTAGCTGGCAAGGACACCGCCTTTGACTCCACCTACTCAGAGAAGGCACGTGACCTTTTTCCCTTAAAAACCAATTCCTCTACAGAAAGAATATAAGCGAGACCTGGAGCAGGAAGTGAAAGGAAGAGGCTTGAATGCCATGGCCAATGAGACTCCAGATTTTCTGCGGGCCAAGAATGCTACAGACATCGCCAGCCAGGTCAGTGCTCCATCCCTGCAGGCTGCCAACATCGCCAGATCAAACATATGTACCAGCAAAGCGCACACACACACATAAAATTTTAAATCTTTAAAAATTATAAACACAACAGGAAGAAATGTTATTGAATGCCAGATATATATAAAAAAAAAAAAGAAAAAGAAAAAGAACTGGGAAGATGGTTCAGAGGCTAAAAGCACCAGCTGCTCTTCCAGAGACCCAAGTTCAATTGCCAGCACCTACCTGGCAGTTCACAATTGTCTGTAACTCTAGCTCCAGGGGATCTGACACCCTCAAACAGACACCTGCAGGCAAAACAACAATGCACATAAAAAAAAAATCATTACAAGAAAGAAATATGATCAGGTCGTACTTCAACCAAGCCTATAAAGGCTACGCGTATCATAAACATTCACAAAACTGATGGGTGTCCTTTTACAGATTAAGTACAAGCAATCAGCCGAAATGGAAAAAGCCAATTTCACTTCTGTCGTTGATACCCCAGAGATCATTCACGCTCAGCAGGTCAAGAACCTTTCCAGCCAGGTAAGGTTTCCTTAGGGCAAAGGTTTTCCTGGTAATTCCCAACAAACTGTTTTCTCATAACACTGCACCCCCCCCCCCACCAGAACAGTGCAGATTTGAGTCAGGATTGAACTTTCTGAATGAGATTTAAAGATAGAAGGTGCAGGCACCTCAGTAGTAAAGTGTGACACCCTGGGTTCTAGCCCAAACATTGGGAAGAAAAAACTCAAGCCATCATGAGGAAAGTTCCAAGACCTGGAGCACTTCCGCGGCTTCCGCAGTACAACTCACAACTAGTGAACATTTGAGCATCCGTTAGAATGGGGGTTTAAGGGGTGTGGGTGCGTGTGGAAGACACAAAGTGGGCCACCCACTCATGCCTGAGACTGAGCCATCAACTTGAACCACACAACCTGGGGTACCCCAGGTGGGCTACCTTCCCAATTCCTAGAATTCCTGTGACCAAAAGTTGTGTGGTATGGAAAGTACTTAATCCCAGCAGGTGGGGGAGACAAGGCGGGAGGCCGGCACAGGCTGTATAGAAAGATCCTGTCTCTGAAACAAAATTAAAAAATTATGAAAACAAAATAAAACATCAACAGGATTCCTTCCTATGTTAGTACTCTTCAGTGATGAAGCCTGTAAGGGCGGGGTGCAAAGAACCTTCCCTGCCCAAGGGGAAGGGCTCTTTTAGGTTACCAGCCTATATAACAATGGGGCTCGTGCTCCCTGCCTTTTCCCAGAAAAAGTACAAGGAAGATGCAGAGAAGTCCATGTCGTATTACGAGACTGTCCTGGACACTCCCGAAATGCAAAGAGTCCGTGAGAACCAGAAGAACTTCAGCCTTGTGAGTTTCTATTCCGCTGAGGCCCAGCCCACTGATGGGGGGACAGCAGGCTAAAGGGTGGTGGCTTTGAGGACACACACTTGGCATCCCTTGAAGGCAGAGGAGTATACGAATCTTCTCTGCGCTCACTTTGTGTTTTAATCCCAAATGAGCATCCGAGTCTCAGCTGCTCAACAGGTGACTTCTTGTCATTGAATGCAAACTATTGATGTCTTCTTTTACTTTTCCAACTAAACCTAAGCAAGAAATACTTTGAATTTTGTATATATTTTACGTCTTTAAAAATTAGTTCTGTGTCTGGGAGCACACGTAGCTTGGTGTTAGAACGGGTGCTTTGTGTGAGACTCCGGGGTTCAATCCCCAGCAAGTCTCTAGCAACACCCCATCACTAAAATTAGTTTCTCTCCAAAATTCTTGGTAAAGAACTGATTTGGGGCTATCGCATTGTGATTATTGTGGCATGGGTTTTCATTAATGTAAAGTTCTAGCTTCTCATCCACAGTATAGAACAGTTATAAAGTATGTCAGGCAATGTGGAGATCTTAACACAGGATATTTACTCTTTCTTCATAGCTGCAATACCAGTGTGACCTTAAAAACAGTAAAGGGAAAGTTACGGTTGTTCAAGACACGCCAGAAATACTGCGTGTCAAAGAAAACCAAAAGAATTTCAGCTCGGTACATTTACGATTTTGTCTCCATCTAATGCTAACCTAACAATGCCGTTCTCTTTAAGAAGATACATGAGCCCCGTGCTCACATAGGCAATTAACCTCTAACTTGCCCAGTTAATGCTAGTGGGTCCTTGGTAAAATGCCCCGAACTTTGTTCCCAGATCATCACTCCTGAGAACATTTGAAATAACTTAAAGCTAACAAAATAACGCCTCTCTTTATATTTTTTGATCTCAAATAGTAACTCAGACAGTAACCTGTGTTGTCTTGTTCCGAGGTGGTGGATTTCTCTGTGGTGTGATTTTCTTTTATTAGCCCTCTACAAAATAACTGACCGACTGACTTTGCATTTCTTTAATGAGTTCTGTGGTTTTTAATCAACATTTTCTGGATTTTTTTTCTCAACTGTATTAATATGGTGTGGTATTCTAAAGAGAATTCTCAAGAGCTGCCAAGCAGCTGGCCTTGCCTCTATGGTTCTGGGTATTGATTCTGACAGGAGGAATTCAGAAGCGAAACTTCATCCCTTGCCTGGAAATACTGTGTAGTGCCTTTGTTTTCACGGAAGCCACGCAGGCTAGACTTTCTCCGGGCACTGCCCGGGTTTCCTTCTTCTGTGTGTGTAACAGTCTCTTGATTCCGAATGCCCAGGTTCTTTATAAAGAAGATGTCTCCCCGGGAACAGCCATTGGAAAGACCCCTGAGATGCTAAGAGTGAAGCAAACGCAGGACCACATTAGCTCGGTAAGGACACGTCAGAGTCGCGTGTGCTGTTCTCGACCTGTCTTTGATAAATCTGTGGCTTCTAAGTCGTAATCTAAACATGCCACCAGAAACGGCATCCAACCTCAAAACAGATGTCTGGGCACTGCCGACATCACAGGCTACGTGCCAGTGGGTGTTCCTCATGAAGATAGAAAGCAGAGGCTTATGGGAAAATAGGACCTATTGGCACCAAGGAGTGAACCTTTTTGGAGGCACATGTGTGGCTAGCTACATATGTACTAATCAAATGGATTCTCAGGTAGGAAGATGCTGGAGGCCAGGCAGCCTCTTCTTACTTTTGCATTCTGACCTCCGCTGCCTCTCAAGGAGTCTTGGTCCAAAAGTGTGAAATGGAAAAGCCCAGAATAATTATTCTTTCTCATATAATGAATGCCATGGCTTCCCATCTCATCCCACCTGGGGCATGAATCATCCCTTCACCGGTACATTCCGAAGTGCATGCTGCCTGCCCTCTCTAGCTGTCTGCATTGCCAGATTTTAGTACTGCAATGTTTGTCTTCAGGTAGCCCTTATTAGTGATGGCCCCAAAGAGCAGGAAGAGCGATGCTGGCCATGCAGAAAAACCAAAGCTTATAAATAAACCAATGTGCTTCCTCTGTTAAAAAAAAAAAAAAGTCAAAGTGGCCAGGCGATGGTGGCACACTCCTTTAATGCCAGCACTCGGGAGGCAGAGGCAGGTGGATCTCTGTGAGTTCAAGGCCAGCCTGGTCTACAAGAGCTAGTTCCAGGACAGATTCTAAAACTACAGATAAACCCTATCTCGCAAAACAAAACAAACAAACAAACAAACAAAAAAAAAACAAAGTGATCAATGTAATAAGTAAAGATGCCATCTGCTAAGGTTGCTAAGAGATACAGTAGAATGAATTTTATGTCCGTGAACTTGGAAAAAGGGGAAAGAAGCCCATGTTTGTTCGCTATCATGCCTCAGAACTGCAAAACAGAAAGCCACAGTGCATGGCAAGCACTTAGTTAAGAAAAAGGCCATCTGAGTGTGATGGCGTGCACCTTTAAACCACTCAGCAGGCAGAAGGAGGTGGATCTCTGAGTCTGCGGTCAGCCTGGTGACATGGTGAGGTCTTGCATCAGGACAATACAGCTAAAGGAGAGCTGGGGAGCAGAAAGTGTACTAAACGTACACCATCTCCAACCCCCTGAAAAAATACAGGACTAGTAATCAACCAGACAGAGGAGGTGGAAAGATCTCAGCATACAACTATGCCTTCATGTCCCCATTTCCCCATAGGTCAAGTATAAAGAAGCAATTGGACAAGGAACTCCGATCCCTGACCTGCCCGAAGTGAAACGTGTCAAGGAGACGCAGAAGCACATTAGCTCGGTACAGACTCTTACTCGGCTTGCCCATTTGTGTGACGGGCCACCTCTCATTGGTACCCCAGTGCCATCCATCCCTTCCTTCTGCCGATGGCCTCCCATGCAGAGGGATGCTGTGACTCCCCCACAGTTCCCCTCAGATGGCAGAAGTAGCCAAGAGACCTCAGTCATGGTTGTAGTTCACCTTCTATGACCCCTTATACCGTCTCTGTGCTATAAACGTCATTTTGAATTTTCTGTCCTCTAACCTGAAAAGAAAACCAGCCCAGGGTTTCTGGGTTGTTGCATTAAGAGCAGCAAGGCTGCGTCCCCAGCAACCGGCCGCCCGCATGGCTAGCTTATGCCCAGAAATAGTTACACGGAAACTGTATTCTATCAAACACTGCCTGGCCCGGCTAGTTCCAGCCTCTTATTGGCTAGCTCTTACATATTGTTCTAACCCATTTCTAATATTCTGTAGCTCACGAGCTGGCTTACCAGGGAGGATCTTAACCTGCGTCTGTCTGGAGTGGGAGAATCATGGCGACTCCTGACTCAGCTTCTTTTTCCCAGCATTCTCTTCTGTTTACTCCACCTACCTAATTTTCTGTCCTATGAGGGCCGAGGCAGTTTCTTTATTATTAACCAATGAAAGCAACAGATAAGATACAAGACCCACCTCCATCACTGGGTTGCTTTGGCTTCTAACTCCTTGTCTTTCTGTAGTTCTCTTCTGCTGGTCCACCCTGCCTCTGCCTCCATGTGATGGGATTCACGGCACACACCACCATGCTGAGCCTAGGCTGCAACTCACTAAGAAGAAAGGAGATAAGAGGTTTAGAAAGTGAAGATCCTTTACTCTTTTTGTTAAAATTTGCAGTCCTTTGATAGTCCCCGTAAAAAAAAGCATAGATACAGTGCGGGGCCTGAGAACATAGCTCAGTGATGGAGCAATTGCCTGTCATGAATGAGTTCAATCCCAACACTATAAATAAAACAAAAATAAACAGTGGGGAAAAAAAAGACCAACCAACAAGTATTAGCTTACTTGATCTCATCATGACTACAACTCTCAGAGAAAGATGCTCTTCCTGAAATACAAATTAGACCTGCTCATATCACATGTCCAACTAGGGACCACCTAAGGTTCCAAAAAAGCTGGAATATGTGTGTGCCCGAAATCCCAGCACTCAGGAAGCTAAAGCAGGGAGAATATTGAGAGTGTAACATGAGTCAGGGCCGAGTAGCAAAAGAGCCTTCACAAATATATATGCATGTGTGTGTTTGTGTCAAACATTTGTGGTAAAAATATATTTGTGGTAAAACATGTATACATGGTAAAATGGTAGGAAATCATAAAATTCTCAATGACTCCAAAGGAGAAAGTATTAGAACATCATATGATTAGAAAATTATAAAACAGACAATATGTGCTTTGAGTATAGATATGTAGACCTAGTATGCACAAAACATTGAGACTGGATACAATGAAATGGTTAGTTTGGGGTTGGTTTTTTGTTGTTTTTGTTTTTTGAGGGGGGTGGTTACTGGCAACTGAATCCAGGGCTTTGCACATGCTAGTCAAATGTTTCTTATTGTTAATTAAACTTGCTGTCATAACTTAATGCATTTCAAGAATGCACTAAGAATTGACTGTGGGAAATGAAAAACTTAGGATTCAGTTTTCAAGATGGCAAAATTTCTACAAATACTTATGAACTTTGTTTTCCTTTGGTCCCCAAGTTCGTATTACGAAGGTAGCTTGTTTTTATGAACACTCACCCAAACACCCTCAAGGAGCTGTAACCTAAAGCATTTGTGGTCACTTTGCTTTCTGGGTATTCTAATTATTCTGCAGGTTATGTACAAAGAAAACTTGGGAACGGGCATTCCAACCACTATCACCCCAGAGATTGAGAGAGTCAAGCGCAATCAAGAGAACTTTAGCTCGGTATTTATGGATATATGAACTAAGAAATTCTTTCCCTTTAAAAAAAAAAAAAAACTACCAGAATAACCTACCGGCCTCCTTTCCACAGTAACATCTTAACGGCTCTGTGTGTTTGTGTACCACCCTCTGATGAAAGCCCCCTGGCCCCATCCGGAATGCCCACTCTTCTCAATGCTCTTTAACATTCTTGCAACTGACTGGTGTGAACTAGGTCTGGTATACGGTCAGCAGAATTAACAAGCTTCCTCGGGGTGCTCACACCCTAGAACCCAGTCCTCCTTCCACCTGTACCTTTCTCTTCTAAGATGTAGAGCAGTGTGTAGAGTTCATCTTTACATTTGCAGCACGCAAAAGCATTGCCCTGACTAAATGCTGCTACCTAAAAATCTTCCTCCCCACCCCAGTCCCTCCTTCCTCTGTCTCTGGCTTGTTTTGAACGTCTTTTGGGCACTTTCTTGTATCTCGCAGGTTTTGTACAAAGAAAGCTTGGGGAAAGGAACCCCTACAGCTATCACTCCTGAGATGGAGAGAGTCAAACGCAATCAAGAGAACTTTAGCTCGGTATTTCTCAGGGGCAAAAATCCCAACCCTAATTCTTGTTTTAAAAAAAAATGGGCAAATTAATGTCTTTAACATACAAATGTAAAATGACTAAATTCATATAATGAAAGAATGATGCCAATATTAAGATTTCAACCCAAATCTAATATGACTTAATACTGGTGTGAAATTTTAACTTTTTTTTAATGTTTAAACTCAACTATATATTACTTTCCTTAAAAATCTATAATTCTCAGTTTTCTTCCTCCAGTTCTAACTAGTGTGGTACAGGTGAAGAATAAAATCTAACATCCTTCCCCAAAGGACAGCACTAATCAGAATTGTGATTATTGTGGCTTGAATTTTTTTTTTTTTTGGTATACATAGCTTTTCCTAAATGGCCATGATTCTTAAACATCTTCCTTCGAAAATAACAGACCTATTCACAGTAACACAAATATAAGTTCATTTATGTCAGCGAGTTTTGTTTGTATGCCATACAAGATGCAGGTGAGCTTTCCTATGAGGGATGTATTCAGGACCACTGCTAAGTTGATAATGTTTATGTTTATTAATCTCTTCAAGCCCTCAGTTTTTCTGATTCAGTGCTGTCTCTAACTCATAGATATAACTTCAACAAGCTAAGTAGTGTTTGGTAAAGCCTAATCCAGTACATTTGAGAATGTGCAGGGCCCTGTGTGTGCTCTGAGGTCACTGAGAGACCAGCCATTATATGGTGCGCAACTAAATGCACAAAGTGGTCCACGGTTGCTCTGTTTCTCGGTTTTGCTTTGCTTCTTCGTAAGAACAAGTACTCTTGGAGATTTGTTTTAAGGTCAAATTTTTACCTCAAAGATGGATCCAGGCTGATGTGATTGTCGGTTCTGTGCACGCAGATATTGTACAAAGAGAACCTGAGCAAGGGGACTCCCCTGCCTGTCACTCCTGAGATGGAGAGAGTCAAGCGCAATCAAGAAAACTTTAGCTCGGTATTTGTGAGAAAGTTCCTTTAACTCCATATTAAAAAGAATAATTCCGATAAAACAAAATTCTTACCATTTATCCCTTTATAATAATTTAACAAATTTTTGGAAAAAAAAAAAAACCCAAAACTTACCAACTGAATCCTTCTGTCCTGGACATTTTACTTACCATTTAATCTTGATGTTTTCTTCCTACTTTCTGAAATACCCCCATAAAACGTCGTTAGATGTTAGTGTCTGTACATGGTGGTGGTGATGGGAATTGGACTTGTGGCCTTGCCCAGGATAGGCAAGTGCTCCACCACGTGGGCTCCCCACTTAACACTTGAAATTGTTTTCCTTTGCTACGTGGTTAGTACTAGTACTTTTGAAACTGATTTCCCGATGACCCAAACCTGGTAGCTTGTATTTACATGGAAATCTTTCAGTCAGATGTTTCCAGGTTAGTGCAACAAGAAAGACACTGACCCAAGGCCGTGTGCAGGACCAGCGCCTTTGCGTGGGGAAAGTGGTGTCCTTACCACAGGTCTCACCTGGGTGAACAGAAAACACTCAGCACTGGCACCAAAAGCCAGTTTTATAGTTCCGATTTATGACTAGAACTAATTTACAAGTTCTAAATTATTTTAAGACAGGATCTTTCTAGATAGTCCAGAGTGGCTTTAAATGTGCCATCCTCCTGCCTCAGCTTCCCTAGTGGTAAGAAAAGCATAGGCGTGTTTTTCTCTTTTTAAACATGCCAATTAAATCAGAGAGCATGTGTTTGCACTATTGTATTTTTTTAATTGATGTTTCTGAAACACTACAGTCATCAATAACCCGTGATCCTTCTGTATAAGGAACTTCTGGGCCTGAAACGAAGATTCACGTATCCTCTGATAATTTAACTGGATCTGCTTTGGGGGAGGAGGCCCACCTGAGTTAAAGTACTTGCTGCCAGTTTGATTTTCTGTGGAGCCATCCCTCTTTCGCACAGTGAGGAGTGTCTCCCTGTGACTGACTCCTCCTCTTGTTCTTTCCCTAATTGCTGCTCACTAACATCTTCCCAATTTCAATGCGTTTTCACTGTATGCGATTTTGTCTTTGGGGGTGCTTCATTTACTGTTTTCCTTTTGGGGGAAATGTATCACCTTTCAAAATGATATTTTAACTATTTCTATATTACAGTGTATTATCATGTATACCTATTTGAAACTAATCATTCTAATGGCCCTGGACAAGTTTTTCTCTGTTCAAGTATGATTCGTGTCGATTTTACACCAGTTATATATTGTCCAGGGTTAACCAAGCCTTTTAGATACTACGGGAAAGACTGTATGTTAAACTTTTGGATTTTATTATTTCTGTAACCTTAGCCAAGACCGATTTAGTCCGAGAGAGCCCAGATTCTGTCTGTAGTTGTAAATGCCTATCATGCTGAGACATGTCTTCTGTAGAAAAAGGGACCATGTGCTGACTCGACAAAGACTCGTCTCTGTGCATAGCAGACATTTCTGTGCTCTCATGCTGTAGTTCTGCCTACCTCTGTGGGTTAGAGGAGGAAGGTGAATGAATGAGCTGTACCCATCACCAGCACCCA